ATCGTCTGCCTGAGACTGAAATCAGTGAGGGAATCAATGCATGTTTGTTTCAGCTATAAATAGTTATTTTCTGCAGCTCCCCTGTGGCTTGTAAAAAGTTTTGTAAATGCGCAAAACATGCTAACTATTTTTTATGTGATGTGATATATTTTTTAACTGACATGTCTAATACAAGCACCAAATATTAGATTTTAAAATGCAGCCATTTCAAACAAAATAAAGGTTCAAAGATAAATTTGCTCCATCTGACATTAAAAGCTTCCATTAAAACACTGACATTTAACTGAGTGTGATCCAACACATCACGAGCAGGATGTGCGAATGTCAGCTCACTAAATGTCTGGACATGTCACAGACATCTGATATAAGATCATTCAGAACTTGAACACTGGTCAAAGAAAAGGCCATTTCCTGTCATGTGACCATAGCGGCTCATAAAAACTATTCACTTTGAGTGAATGATACTCTTACAAAGGTGGAAGAAAGTCAATGCAACAAAAGACATTTTCTGGAATCAAAAACCTCCTCCTGTGTAAAGGTTAATACCAGGGAAGACAGCAAAGTCTGATCTTTGATTGGCTTGGCTTATGAGGGTAAAATGGCTTCATGCTGTCTTCGACAGGAAAGGATGAGATGGTATTATGCCAATCCTATTATAATACCAAATAAAAGAGTGTGATGGATGACGACTCCACCAGATGTAACCGGAGGGGGATGTGATGAGCAGAGGGATTTGAAGATTCAGTAATTTCAACACGTAAGCTCACTGTGTTTTAGTTAAGTCTGAGAACTGATGTGGCTGAAATACTGTAAAACCATGTTAATCGCTGCTCTGCAGATTGCTGCCATGAGCTTTCAATCACACATGTGGACATTCACTCCCACATGTTAAAAGTCAGTCATTCACTTATGGACACTTTTAAAAAAGAATTACATAACACGAGTATGCCTGACATAAGAGGGATCTGTCACGAGTTGCTTTTACAGTTTTCTTTTTTTAAAACACCAACAGAAAAAGCCCATCACCATTTCTCAAAGTTCAAATTGACAGTTTTTTGTTTTGTCCAACCAGCTGTTCAAAAGCTACTGAGTTTAAGAACACAGAAGACCAAAAAACCCCAGAAACAGTTCACATTGAAAAGTGATAATTAAGCACTAATCAAACAGATTAATCAAGACTGATACATTTTCTGGTGATCGATTAGTCGATTGTCTGACTAATAGTTTTAGTTCTAGCCCATTTCAAATGAAGAATTCTGGCCTAATCTAAAACACCTATTCTCACAAAACGTGTGCACAGTTAAAGGTGAATCTGCCTCTTCCACCTCCCATTAGTTGCCTGTTAATACTGCAATTTTAACTGACATGGAGACACATGAATGTTTGTAATGGTCTTGCTGACACTCTCTAGAGATACCTATTACCACAAATCATCGCATGCTCACAGTTCAACACAAGAATAGTCAGATAAAATCCTAATAGCCTGCTGAATAAGCAACTACTCATAATGGTTTAGGGCTATGGACTGTGGGTGTCCCCGTGATTTTCCCTTCTGCTTAGAAGAATTTGAGCCTTGACGTTATTCAGTTCCCAAAACAGCTGGGAACATAAATACATAATGAAGGACAGACTCAATTGATTCTATGCGAGACTTTTCCTATGCTGACAAACATTACTTTATGCAGAGCAGGGGAAGATGGTGCTACAGTATGACACAGGGCACATGAAGCTACAGTATGACGCAGGAGAGCATCCACCAGTCTGGTGCCATTCAAGTAGCGCTATCTCCATGTAACGCTCCAGGGACCGCTTTACTTAAGAGGAGTCGGGCTATGTAATCAGAACCCCAGCCTGTGATTAATGTTGCTCATCTGTCTTCATGCCCGCACAGCCCAGTACGACTCAGCACAGCTCATCCAAGATGCTGTTTACTGCACAACGTTTTGCCCGCAGCCATGGAAATAAGTTGAATCCATTTCACCTAGACAGCCATGAGATGTGTGAGAAGCCAACATCCAACAAACTATAAAAACAACCACAAAAACTTACTGCATGATTCCTGACTGTACTTAATGCTTAAGCTTCATGCCATGTCTTTTATCGGTGGCCAGGAGGATGTTTTGTTCCATTTCTGCAGTTCACCTTTCAAATTACTCATTTTGGAAAGCAAAAACAAGTCTTACAGGCAATCCAGTTCTAGTTTAACTGTCCTTCAAATGAAGCAAGGCTGAGCAAAGGATAGATTTATGATGCATGCCAAGCGTCTTCCAGTGCTAACATCATCAAAAGAACCTCTCTACCTGTCGGCACACTGTATTAATGAGCTATTAGGTGTTCGTGGGTAAACAATTTATAGTGTTGGCTTATTTACCGCATGCTCAGGGAAAAGTGCATCTGGGCTGGGAGCCTCCTCTCGCTAGGGAGCCGATCCATCTGCCGCCACCACCATTCCATTCACTCTACCACTTGGACAGATTTACACAAACCTTTTGTCATTATTCTGATATGTCTATCTATTATGGGAAACGCTCTTGAAACAAGAGAGCTGCTCCGGGTGTTGCTCCTCCATCTGTGTCTAATTTACAGTTTCTTTAAGTGGATTTTAAATGGGCATGAGTAACTGACATTCTTATGGGATGTCCCTGGAAAATAGATTTCTGTATTCTGAATCTGTACCAACAATTCTTTTACCATACATGCACAGTGTCAATAGAGCACTCCACATGCACTGAGCATCCAACAGCAAACTTGACGACCTGCTCAATTCAGGTGGTTTGTGGACAGCCCTGAGAACACTCTATGAGTAAAGATTAATCACTTGTGTGCTAAAGAGAGTTCAAAAACAACAGCTTCATTCATTCAATTCAAACCTGGACAAGGCCAATCTGGTGGAAGCCTCCCGTTAAATGGCTGCAGGGTCAGTAACACAAGCTGGAACTGCAGAGCCATTAGGTGAATTGTTTGTTTCTGAGCAATGTCAGAACACAAACTGTACAAAGCCTAATGTACAACTGCACAAGTCTAATAATATTCATTCATGGCTCCTTACTCAGGATAATTCGAGTGTTGTTATGGAACTGATACAGACTGATGATTGAGCAAATAAAAGAACATGGTAAGCTTCAAAACTGCAATAATTGATTTTATCTAGCAGCAGAAGTGAGCTACGGTATGATAGGTCAAATTTGTTAACATACCATCATGGCAACAGTCATGGCAGTTTCCCCATACCCCTGGTAAAAAATATCTGGCTCTTTAGTGGTTAAATGCTCTGCAGTGTTCACCAGTTATTATAAAAAGAGAAATTACAGATGCCTGATGGCATGCAGCATTGAGAGAACATGAGTGTAATATCCTACTGCATCTCTTACCAAAGTCTTTGTGGGATGACATCCAGCCAATCTCCTTGAGGGAGACGAGAGCTAACAAACCGTAGCCTACGAAGGAGCCAACCCCAGAGAAAAAAAAGAAGAGCCCCATGATGGCACTCTGCATGGACTTGGGGGCTGCAGAATAGGCAAACTCCAGACCTGCAACAAAGAGAGCAAATGTGCGGTCATAAATTTGTGGAATTAGCAGCCGTATTACCATGCTATTTACATATATGCTTTGTCTGAACATGCACTATTACATTGTCTGCACTAGTAGAACAAACAATGCCCGTCTTTCTGCATGTATATAACATGATGGGTTTTCTTGCCAGTAGCTGACTTCCTTTTAGCACTTTGTATACAAAACCATAAGACTTCCTTAGTAAATGCATAGCTGCCTTTTTCCCCATGGTGCTATTGTTGGGTATCTATTCTACTTGGTACTGGTCTCAAGATTTCTAGAAAACACATCATTTAGTATGTACTGTGTCATGAAAGACAGAAAAGGATGGAAAAAAATGGGCAGGGGACCAAAGAGAAAGAGAAATGAAGAGGGCAAACCCATAAAATCTGTGTCTTTTGCCTGCCTGCAAGCTGACATTGATAATTTCATGGCACCTCAAACATGTGATTTTTCAAATGAGGCCCTATAGCTACATCTGTCAGGAGAGATTAGGGAGCTGCAGTTAAATATGCTTGCCTTTTAAGACATTCCTGGTAGAGGGGGACTGCACAAATTAATATGATGAACAGTTTACATACAGATACCAGCACTGGTTATGCAAAAAGAAATTAGATAAGAGCATGGCAAACATAAAGTTATTGAGTGGAAAACAATTTACAGTTTCTTTAAGTGGATTTTAAATGGGCATGAGTAACTGACATTCTTATGGGATGTCCCTGGAAAATAGATTTCTGTATTCTGAATCTGTACCAACAATTCTTTTACCATACATGCACAGTGTCAATAGAGCACTCCACATGCACTGAGCATCCAACAGCAAACTTGACGACCTGCTCAATTCAGGTGGTTTGTGGACAGCCCTGAGAACACTCTATGAGTAAAGATTAATCACTTGTGTGCTAAAGAGAGTTCAAAAACAACAGCTTCATTCATTCAATTCAAACCTGGACAAGGCCAATCTGGTGGAAGCCTCCCGTTAAATGGCTGCAGGGTCAGTAACACAAGCTGGAACTGCAGAGCCATTAGGTGAATTGTTTGTTTCTGAGCAATGTCAGAACACAAACTGTACAAAGCCTAATGTACAACTGCACAAGTCTAATAATATTCATTCATGGCTCCTTACTCAGGATAATTCGAGTGTTGTTATGGAACTGATACAGACTGATGATTGAGCAAATAAAAGAACATGGTAAGCTTCAAAACTGCAATAATTGATTTTATCTAGCAGCAGAAGTGAGCTACGGTATGATAGGTCAAATTTGTTAACATACCATCATGGCAACAGTCATGGCAGTTTCCCCATACCCCTGGTAAAAAATATCTGGCTCTTTAGTGGTTAAATGCTCTGCAGTGTTCACCAGTTATTATAAAAAGAGAAATTACAGATGCCTGATGGCATGCAGCATTGAGAGAACATGAGTGTAATATCCTACTGCATCTCTTACCAAAGTCTTTGTGGGATGACATCCAGCCAATCTCCTTGAGGGAGACGAGAGCTAACAAACCGTAGCCTACGAAGGAGCCAACCCCAGAGAAAAAAAAGAAGAGCCCCATGATGGCACTCTGCATGGACTTGGGGGCTGCAGAATAGGCAAACTCCAGACCTGCAACAAAGAGAGCAAATGTGCGGTCATAAATTTGTGGAATTAGCAGCCGTATTACCATGCTATTTACATATATGCTTTGTCTGAACATGCACTATTACATTGTCTGCACTAGTAGAACAAACAATGCCCGTCTTTCTGCATGTATATAACATGATGGGTTTTCTTGCCAGTAGCTGACTTCCTTTTAGCACTTTGTATACAAAACCATAAGACTTCCTTAGTAAATGCATAGCTGCCTTTTTCCCCATGGTGCTATTGTTGGGTATCTATTCTACTTGGTACTGGTCTCAAGATTTCTAGAAAACACATCATTTAGTATGTACTGTGTCATGAAAGACAGAAAAGGATGGAAAAAAATGGGCAGGGGACCAAAGAGAAAGAGAAATGAAGAGGGCAAACCCATAAAATCTGTGTCTTTTGCCTGCCTGCAAGCTGACATTGATAATTTCATGGCACCTCAAACATGTGATTTTTCAAATGAGGCCCTATAGCTACATCTGTCAGGAGAGATTAGGGAGCTGCAGTTAAATATGCTTGCCTTTTAAGACATTCCTGGTAGAGGGGGACTGCACAAATTAATATGATGAACAGTTTACATACAGATACCAGCACTGGTTATGCAAAAAGAAATTAGATAAGAGCATGGCAAACATAAAGTTATTGAGTGGAAAACATGAATGACCTTTCCAGACGTTCACAACAATACATTTGTTTATATCATCAAGTTAACCTTCTGATAGCAACAAACACTGGTCAATAGCCATATCACAGGGGAATGCAAAGGTTGGTGAGGGTTCTCAGATACAGCTCTGCACAGCAACAGGAACAGTACAGTCCAACACTACCATTTTGTTAAACACAGCTCTTGTCTGTCTGACAACAATAACTCAAGATACTGTACAACTGAAGCGACAGCCGCTGCTTTCACCATAAACAGCTTGACCTTTCTCAACCAAAAAGCAGAATTATTGAGGAGAAGAAAAAAAAAGGGTGGAATTCAAAATGTATACAATTCTTACTTCCCAAGGCCTTTGTCGAAGGTGGTGATTTTTCTTTCCTAAAAATATTAATGTTTGACATTTTCAAGAGTGTAGTACATAATTAAAAATACCGAAGAGAATCACTTTGCTAAGTTTATGCATATTCTTATTGCCTGAAAGCAGAAACATTTGGGTATATGTGTAAAGAATTACCCATCATCCTACAAGACTGGGGATTGCAGTGAGGAAGTTTGATGGCACTGAAGGTTTTAAACTGATTTATTCAAACAGAAGAAGTCTGAGGGGAAATATTCCTCTATACCAGACATATGTCACAATTCTGTCAGCCAATTTTCCTTGAAATAAGCCCAGTGGGATCTTATGGTAGAAAAGAAGAGAGAAAGTTTATTTTAAGGACCCCTATAGATTTGTTATGTCTGGATTTGCCATTCATAGGTACCCTGAGAGTTTTATGTGAATTCTACTCTTTTATTGAGGCCTTATGGAATTCTGTTCAAAGGCTGTACTGTACAATACCCTTATTAAACAAATTTTAGTATCCATGGATTTTAAACTAAAAGATGAAAAATATTGATTCCTACAAAAACCCAGCAGTGACTGGATCAGCTAAATAAACCTTTCACTGTGGTGACAAAAAGTCTTAAATATTAATGGTTCAATCTTCACTCTTGAGACACAAATAAAACAAGGGTTATATAGAGGAGCCGACAACAACATGACCCGTAGTATTTGACGAATGACTCAATCATAGCTTGAGGCCTTAACAAACTCGAAACGCTAAGATAATTGAGGCCTGAAGCCATGGTCATGACTGTACAGGAAAACAAATAAAGAAAAAATCTATAGAGACAGAGAGACACCAAACAAATAAGCAAAATACAACACAGATTTCTGTTGTGCATGGCAGAGTATAGACAGTGTAGGACAAAAAGGCCCACAGCTGCCACAGTGAAATGCTCTATCACATCCAGTGCATTTCTCACAAACACAAATGCCCCTCTTTTAATAAAGGAGAATATTGTAACTGTTGTTTTCATTCTTGTCTCAGTTTTTGTGACCACAATTTGATATAGCATTAGAGCAATTTCTCACTTTGTCACAATATTGTGTTACTGTGGCAATGCTTCTCTTTTAATGAAATGGTGCTTCCTCTTTAGGTCAGGGCTCACAAGAAATGAGAGCCAGCTTCTTACCGAGAACTTCTCAGTTGCTACCCTGAATGTATCAAAAAGAAGTTTGCAGCTGTCAGTTCCAGCATGAACCGTTCAGACCTGCTTTGATTCAGTGCTTTCCTTTTTAATCATTTTCAGGAAAAGAACAGGGAATCCATTTCTCTGGGGAAAGCAAGCACAGCTAAATCTCCAGTGAAGGATTATGGGTGGCCTCATATTGATGAGAATGTATCTTGGAATGATATTTACTGGTATGAATTGTCTGAGCAGTAACACAACTCTGAATTCAAAACCGGCCTAGGGAAGCGTTCACAAAGCTTGGCAGTATGAAAAGTTGGTCCAAGTGCTGCAATTCTAGACAAAAAACTCGCAAAGAAAATAAATGCTATTCATAAAGAATGTGCACCATGTAAGATAAACAGTAGGTATAGTACACAACATAATGAATAGAAAGGAGGGTTAATACAAAGCTTAGGACTTTAATAACACTTCAATTACCCAAGTCACACTCATTCCTAGTGCTGTCTAGTCATGCAGATAGTTTTGCATTATTATGCCATGGTTTTGAGATATCTGTCTTTAGAGCTTTGCCTGCCACCCTTATATCCCAGTGGAGATTAATCAGATTTTGTTTGTGCTCTACACAGAGATTTGTCAACCTGCAGAATTTTTCATACCCTTTATACTATGAACGCAATATATCTGGTTGCATTAGACCATTGCGGGCAATGCTGCAAATCAATGAGCCTGACCACCTTATGGAAATACTGCAGACTAGAAGAGTTGTGCATCAACGTGATGAAGTGCTTCGATTAGTCAGGTATTTAATTCACTAGATCCAGATCAGAAGCTGCCATTCACAGCTTGCTATAGTACCAGTTTTATTTGCAGTTCAAGTGTCATTAAAATGTTGGGGGGAAAAAAAAAAGCTAGTAAGTGGACACCGAGTTTTAGTTTTACCTTTATATACCACATGAAAATGTGTTTAACTTGCCAATGTTTGGTATAAGTTTCTTCAGCACAACCTCACATGTTCACTCAGATCAGGTGAGTAACCATGGAGATGGAAAATTTAAGTTATGATGTTAATTATATTGTGAAATTGACTGCACCCCCAGGTTTACAGCATAAAGTGGAGATCTTTGGTGTATTTATCTATCTTAGTATCTACTGTATCTGTTTGGACAACAAGCAGAGGAAGAGTACTAATGTGAATCTGGTCACAGGCTGGATCAAAGGCACAACTCTAATCATCATTTCAATTATAAATGGTTATTTTATCCACACCTTATTTATAAAATGTCCCATTACTGAATAATATCTTGCAGTGCTGTGAGAAAATCAGAATAATCAATTATCGATCGACATCTTGGGTTATTTACTCTGGACTACAACCCACAAACACATTAAGCTGGTGCAGTCTGGCAATGGATCACACAAACTGTTCAAAAAGGGTTTACACATTAGTCTTCATTGCATTCTGCTTAGGAGAATGGGCACTGCGGCTTTTAGCTCGCATTTCATTCAGAGCAGCTCAGTGTGAGGATGACAGAGGATACTGTATTTTGCTGTTAGTCTGAGTCATCATGTCTACCTGACCGCAGTGCCAAATGAGACCTTCTAATAGCTGCAAATTCCACTGGAGATGTTAAACAACTATACCTGCAATGCTGGCAAAGATTTCGCTGATTCCTATTAGCACATACTGAGGGACTTGCCACCATATGGGTAGATCTGCTGCGTAGTAGATAGCGTTGCCAAGCACCTGGTCAATGGTACCAAAAGATTTGACGATTTCCAAACGTTTGGTTTCCAAAATACCTGAGGGAATAGAAACAGAAAACACTCAACATGCTTTATCTGTGAGTTGGAGAAAGAAAAAACATGGACAAACTGCAAAAAACTACACACACATATTATATATACATAGTTTTGTTGTTTTATCAAGGTTCTAATTATATTATAACCACTGTATATATCTATCTGAAAGTTCCATCTAAACTGTGTACACACACACACACACACGTATTTTCCTAAAGCACATTCCTTTTTCTTGTTTGCACAGTCTTTTTCTTTTCTTGTTCTCTCAGTCTTGTCTTGTTTACTCATTGCCTTACAGAAAAACATTGTACATGCACACAGAGTCAGTGTACTGGAGTCAAAGTCCATGTGTTCCGCACACCTGGCAAATAAAGCTGATTCTGGTCATTTACATTTATTTCTTAGTCTCTTTATTAAGATATAACTAGAAAATACAGGAGATATATACGTATATATTTAAATTTTAAAATTATTTGTCAACCTTGAAGTTCATGACACCAACAAACACAGCCAGAGCTGGAGGATTCAGTGACAGTCCTTTAAAGATTTAGCTAGTTGTACCCTATGTCTTCATTAAGATCACTTCTGCATGCATCCATATTGTGGCCATTAGTAACGGAACAGTGCAGACAGTTCAATAATAAGAGCAAAGTAGTTTTCATCAACTGCTGCCTGCTTCCTTAAAGCTTTTTTCAACAGCTATTATCACGTAACCAGTGGCTATTTCCAGATAACTCCCAGAGATGGCATCCTATCATAACTACAGTTAATGCTGCATTTGAGAAGAGTAGTAGAAGCCTTGTAATCCAGCTATCCTGTAATACCAGCCGCCCACCTCAAGCAGTGTGGCCAATGGGCTGCCCAGGGCAAGCCTCACACTGTAAACACGCATCCAAACATTACTAAACATGACACATTAGACAACCGTTTGTGATCCCTGGCAACTCTGCTGCAGCTAAATCTCTAAAAATGAGATGCTTTTGCGCACCTAATAGCCATTTAACCAAAGCAGATTAGTGGATAAAATTGAGAGAGGGAAATATACTAATAAAATCTCTTCAAAAGCAATGTCAGCGCAGCTTTTCAGTCTGAGACATAAAAGAAAATGGTTTCAGAATCAGTCCACTGTTCATTTGACAGCATGTCTTCAGTTGTCCCTTTGCACTGCAGGGGGGTGGGGGGGGGTCAAGCTGTCCTTGTGCCATGCGTGTCAGCATGTACAATGAAATTCTGTGAAATATCACTGCACCGATGTCATCATACAGATTCCCTGCACATGGTGATGAAAGTGACTAGCTCTGAACAGCAGTGGTATGGCCAATGTTGTGGACACAGCATGATAAGGCTGAAAATGCAATGTGCTGGCCTGGCTACTCTCTGGGCAAAGGATCCCACACTTGTTCTTCCACAACTATCAGTCATCAAAACAACAGGACTTCAGCGGATGCAGATCAGCACTGAGGACACACAGAAAGCCAGTCAAGGGAAATACAAATGAACATGTAATAAGAGTATAAGGCAGCTCCCAGGAGTCAATGTATGTAAATGAATGAATGTGAAGCAAGGAAATGCTGGGGATAAACAGCACACAGGCTCGACTAATTATTCTTGGATGTAGCACCGTCACGATAAAATACAGATACAATACCATTAATGCTGCATATCAATAACCCACAAAGTACATTACTGTTCAGACTGGATCCAGTTGTCTGGTTTGACTTCTGAAATCCACGGCACAACTTGGTTGCAGACTAGTGAACTAGTGCATTCACCCACTATTCTGTGAGCAACACAGCACTACACCATCGTAAGCCCCTTCTCTGCACTTGCAACACTCAAAATTGCTTTCTGCAATATTTAGAATTTATTTTGCTTGAATTCAAATGCAGGGACTGCACCTTCTTTCAAGACATCAAATGGAAAAGTAAATACTTGAATAGCTTTTGAACATCAAAAATGAACACGTTAGAGCACCTTTCCTCCCAGGAATGCTCATGTCCTCTGAAAAGCAAATATTACTTTTAACCGAAAAGCAGACACATTAGATTTGGTTAATGGACTTTTAACCGCATCTCACTGATTGAAAAGGATGTTTCTAATGGGCTAAGTCAGGCTTTAATAACTCTCAGTCTAGACCATCTGAAAACTCTCCCTCAACAAACCTTCTCACTTCTTCTTCAATATGCCCATATAAAGTAAAGCACAGGGTTGAGAGTTTATTCCAGTACCGCTTTCTGTCTCTTACTCGAAAAACTCAGACACCACATAGATATTTACGAGTACAACTTCCTCTGTAGATCACAGTCTACAAATCACACCCATACACAGTTACATGTACTGTCGAATTAGTAGAATTAGCCACGTGATGCATTTCACTACCATCTTACATTCAGTAACCCTGTGTTTATGACTTGCATTCTTCTACAATCCAGAGAATTACACACAAAAACTGCTGGGACACACCAGAGAAATGCAGCAGCATGCCATATGAAATGTTAGGATAATTTAACATGCAACACTGCCGATGTAAACGTAACATTAACGTTCCTTTTAGACAGATATCCTTTGTGATGGTATCAGGATTAATGTGGGCAGTCGACCATAAATCATCTCTAAATGTTCACTGCAGAGATCTCACAGTTTTAATGTTATCCAATGATTTGGCATCACCTCTAAACCCAGTGAAGAGGATTTTAGTACAAATGAGAGTGAGTCCATCCAACTTCTACAGAGCAGAAGAACACTGTGTGAATAAAACATTGTTTTCCACAAACCTCACGATAGATGGGAACAACACATGTAACCATGGTAACTGTACACAACCTTTACAAAAACTAAAAAAATATTTAGTTTTTATTGACTAAAACTAACAAAAACCAAAAGATAAAATTTGACTACATGTTTTGCAGCCAAGTGGTAGTGAGGTTGAAGCACAGCACACAAGTTAATATAATCATCGCTAATGACAGAAGATGTAATGCATATTTGAGAAAAGAGAAAACAAACTACAATGTCCACCGACTCTGCTGCGTTCTGCCTTGTCTCTCTCAAAACATTTTAGCCTGGATGCATCAATGCAGCAAAGACTGCTGAAAGACCTGGACGAGGCTATTTAGCAAAAGAATCTACAGGCTGGAAGAGAACACGACGGAGCAGTCGCATGCAGGTGTGGTCATTCAGGACCAAAAAGTGAGATACCACTGCTCCCCCGGTAACCTGCAGGGGGAGGAATAAGGACAGAACTCTGGGGCTGTTTTTTCCTTTGCCAGGAGTAAAGTGGTGTTTTGCTTCAAGGACAATTAAAACATTTGTGACAGACCATTTGCTGAGTCCCACAACAACACAGTAGAGGCAAGAATTAATTAAAAAAGATTTCCAAATACCTGCAAGTTATACTAAGAGCAGATGAAAAAAAATGTCTCAGCAACAATAATCCCCACAGCACGCCACATCTGTACCACTGTTGGTGGTGCAAACGGCATTAGTGCCATGTTTCTTTTAATTAGAAATTAAGGAAAGATGGAGCGGTGGCACTACATGTTCATTGCTCATTGCCTTGGAAGTACAATTCTGACTACACGAGTCATTTACCACAAACAACAAGTGCTAACTTTGATGTTTCCTTGGTGTTTTTCTGGCCTACTTATGTGACAGCATAGAGAAGGCATGTCTATTAGTGCGCTCACCTGCTGCCACAGCTGATGACATCACAAAGAACATCCCCACTGCAATCCTCTTCAGAGAGGATGGCAGCAGGCCATGGCGTTTTAGGATGGGGTCCACCACTTTGTCCTTTAGGGGAATCAGCATAAGGATGAGCACTGCATCAAACATGGTGAGCCAGGCGGCGGGGAAACGGAACGTCATCTGGGGGGAATGGAGGAAAAAGATGAGGTAAAACTGTGCAAAAAGGCAGCGGAGCATGAAAACTATGGACAGTGTCACTGCATTCCCACACAGTTCACAGTTTAGCAATTGCTTGTGTGCATGAGTAAGTGAGTGGGTCTGTATATGTGTGTGCAAGTGTGTACTTAGGGGTTCATATTGCTTTGGCACCCCCAGGTGGTCAAAACCAAACATGATTATATGGAAAAAAAATGTATACATTTGAAAGAAAAGAACACAAATAGCCAAATGTAATAATCATTATTATTATAATTCTTGATTATTAGTAGTGGTATTATTTACTGATTAAATGTGAAAGTGGCAAATGAGACATATTGTTAGTCCAAAATAAGCACAAATCTAAATCTGTTAACATCTATAACAGCAGTACTTAAGACTGTGCAAGCTGACTGAATGACATATAAATCAAAGGGAATATCCATTATGAGCATACAAAGTATCTTTAAGTTCAGGTTATATCTCACAGAGTGAGCAATGAAAGCCTGCAAAATGCTGGGGATGGTTTTTAAAACTCAGATTCCAAGTGCCATCTGAGCTCCTAATGCGTTTCTCATTTTACACTTCTGATAGAATCATTTGTTCTCAAGTTGAATTACCATTTTATGGAGTACCTGCTGGCAATCTGTACGCAGATCCTTAGAGTGTTTCCCTCCCTTGTTTGCACATTATCATATTCAAAATGACAGAAAGGGCAAAGACTTGTCCTATGAATGATGGAGGTGTCCCAGGAGGCCTAGGTCTGCTCTATGTACATATAGTACACACAAACATACATATATACTGGGCACTTTATTAGGTAGAGCTGTACAATTATAAGCACTTCAGTGCAACACTTCCTCCTTAACATCTGTGTTTATGAAGCTCAAAAGTTTCAGTTTTTGGTGAAATTGTCATAAATGTATAAATTCAATTATATCTTTATTATTGAGGTCATAATTAAATGTGTTGTTGTACTGGACTACATTTATATTCAGGTGTTCCTAATATTTCTAACCCTCTCATGTATGTGGCTGGGAAGTACAAAAACATAAGACACACCTAATAAAGTTGCCATTCAGTATAAAGTGTGTAAATTGTGTACACAGACTTTTTTTAAAGTATAAAGTGTGTAAATTGTGTACACATACTTTTTTTTTTAATTTTCATTCAAACCAGTTCTGTTGCTACTACTCAAATATTTACGTTAGATTCATGAAGACATAAAATGCACAGCACAAGCACATCTGTCTCCTATTTGCACTTATCATCATCATTATTATTATTAGTAAGGCCTTTCTTTCCTTGTATTTGTTCAGCTTAGCCATTGAAAATGCCAGGTGAGGTGAGGGAGCAAATCACAGCGGCCTCTAATCTCACTTCCCTTTTGATGTTGAAACGTGTTAAGGCAGGCAGCGGAAAAGGCTTAGTTCCCTTTTTATAAAAGACAGATGTAAAAAAAAAAAAAACTAAATATAGTTCACAAACACAGTTAGACACAGCGGAATATGAGTAAACAAATCTGTCAGTTTTAGAGTCACAAGTCTAAGAGAATATTACTGTGAAATATAATGATATATGTGGCAAATATACAGCAGTAGGCTAGATTGTGTGGTTTACAAGCGTTTCACTTCACATTTCCATGCAGTCAGTAAATTTCCCTATCACCACAAGCAAAACAGCCCTTGTTATACTATACTACTATGTAGTACACCAGTATTCCAATTTCATCACTTTTAAACTTTGATTTTTGAGGAGTTGTGTATCATGTGGACTAACTCAGGGGGTTTCTGTCATCAAAGCCCCCCAGAACTCAACATACAATCTGTCAGAGACACAGTTACACCAGCAACACTCGCAAGAAATACAACCGCAGCCAGGCTGCTATTCTGTGAGGCATTAATCTGTGCAGTTCCAACTTAATCCCCAAGGCATTACCAGCCTTCACTGCTACCCGCCATTGTGTGTCAGTGACCCAGTGATCTCTTTAGTTTCAGTGTGAAAAAACTAGCTCAAACCTTCTTAGGTTAGGTATTGGGTTTAGAGGTTAGAGCTCCTCACTGTCTAAATTTAACTCAACAGAATTATACAGTAGTTGCTCAACACTATGTGGATAACAAATCACCATATCGAACCACCAAAGTAAGCACAATGCTATCTTTTAATTACCGTAAACAAAAAACTAGCACTGGACTGTCTCCACTGTACAGAAGGCTACCTGTTGGGCATCAGTAGTGAAGTTCGAAGCAGTACCAGGGATCTTCAGATGGAGGCCCTGCAGGACATATGTTGTCTGCATCTGCAACACAATAAGGAGATTAGACTCTCAGCATAAAGTAATTTTCCACCTTATGATCACCAGGATGTCTGGTTGCAAAACCATTCTTCTCCAATAGTGAAATGAAAAATAACCATCCTATCATTTTACACATATCTTACCTGAAAGTATACAGTCCAGTATGGGATAAGGGCCAAGAAAACCGGGAGGGTTTTCAACAAAGATTTCACGTCCTCTACTTTCTCTTCTGGAAATTTTCCTCCATAGGTCACTTTGGCACTGTCTAGCAGTGTTGGTTTTTTTCTTCACAGGAATAATGAAACATCTTTAATTAAAATTACAGTGTAATTGATAGCAAAAAATAAAATCATAAGTAAATATAGAACATACAAGAGTTATTCTAAACTCTTAAAGTGGGAGATATCTGTGTGAACAACCTACCAGCTCTTCTAGATATAGGAAATAAACCCTATTCTAAGGTCTATAATCCCCATCTCTGGAGAAAATGCCTTAATAAGAAATTCTTGAAAGGCTGCACTATTGGCCAACTTAAGATATTCAACGTCAGGTTCTTGAACCCATTATGCTACTTTGGTTTAAAGTTAAGTAACAGCACTTCAGAAAACTTTTCACCCTGGGGAATGACAATGAATGCCCAGACCAGTGGGGAGAAAAAGGAATTACACAGGCGGATCAAAGGAGGCTTTAACATAAAGGTCTATCAACAACACCTAGTGCAGCTGTGTTATTTCACCAGCTCAGAGTCACCATCTCTCTAAACTCTGCCCTGAACAAAACACTTGCTACACTGTTGGAGAGAGCGTTCCCATTGAGAATGATGAATGCTTTGCTACACCAGTTACTGTGAGCATGGTATTTGTAATTCTGTGTCATTTAAACACGTTTACTGCTTTACAATACGGTTTTATGCTATCTATCAGTACACAAAGGCCTGACACTGACTGACACACAAAGATGAAATGCCACCCACTGGAGCAGACTAGGTTCCCTGGGTTTCTGGGACCATAAGGCGAAGTTCAGAATCTTAAACATATCCGTAAAGGTGCTGCCATCAGCGGGCTTGCTGATGAAGACGGTTCGGCCCAGGAGAAAGACCAGGAAGGAGACTCCAAGACACACTGTTGGAATGATGTAGCCATACACAAAGCTGATATTTTGCTGGATGTAGCCCACACCACCCAGAGACAGAATAGCTCCTAGGTTGATGCACCAGTAGAACCAGTTGAAGAATCTGCGCGTGGCCTCTGGTCCTCTGTCTTTCACCTGAGATCACACACACAGTACAGCATGACAAAAATTAGCTGTCATTGTAATCTGGTCACAGATACAAGAAGATGCTTTAAAATAAAATCATTTAGAAAAAAACTTGAACTCTGAACATTGCTAACACTGTGTCATACCAGTTTGCCAGCTATAAAAGAAATGTGGTCATCAGCACTTTGGCATGAGGGTTTTCAAAGCCACATGCTAGCGATATGAAACTGGCAGAAGTATAAGTCAACAAGAAAGTTTGTTTGTGTGTCAGGGGGCTTATCTAGGAAAAGGACAGCCACAATAAACAGCAACTTCTTGTTTATTTGTTATCTACTTAATGAGGCTTTGGGCATTCTTTCAGAATGTGTTATGATAGCCTAGACCATTAGCAAAACTGCAATAAATTCAGTTAAATGTCCATGCAAGCAAATAATATTATTCTCATGATGGCACCAAGCCATTCCACATGCAAATTTTATCAGTGTATGATGAAGTGGATACGTCTTTTATATAGAAGAACAAAAGATGCAGCAGTAAAGATGCAATTAACTACTGGGATGATATAGTAATGTCACAGCATTCACAAGCTTACGCCCAGCGTAAATCTTTCTGGGGTCCTCTCTGCAGCGGTGCAGTGTCAGTTAGAAAATTCATCACATGATTATAATTTGTTACCAACAACTGCATTATAATACGATTAAAAATAATACACACACAGCGTACTTTTGCGGTTGTTGCGCTGTCGTTTATAAGACAAGATCAAAGTAAGTGGCAGTGTTCCCTCCAGCCATTAGTCACGCCAGGACAGGACAAACATTTCATTTACCATCTTGTTTCAGTGTTCACCCTCCATCAAATACAGAAAACGATGAGTAAATCGTACTGATCATGGGTTGACAAACGTTAAAACAGCAGTGACTCGCAAAAAATGAGGGATACAGTTGCAATGGATTCCTCTGCTGTCCCAACAGCCGCTACCAGATGCATCAGCAGCCCAATTAAAAATATACCTTTATCATTATGATGCTCAAAATATTTGTTGTATGTATAAATTAAAAACCCACAACATAGATTGTGTCAGTTTCATAATAATGGTGTAATTATTAGACTGCATGTAACAGGAAGTCTTCAGTTTCACTGAAACCAGGCACATTTCAAGTGTCACCTACCAACATTTAGCTGGAGGAGCATTAAAGGGAAAATTCTACCTTGATATGAGGAACTTCATATTTCTAATGAAGCGCTGAGAAAACATTATCTTTTATGAAGTTACTTGAGTGCTTCATTAGCCAATTTCAAGCTTAACAATCATAGACACTTAAAAAAAAAAAACCTAGCTGATGTGTGATGTGCTGCTCTAAGATACACCAATGTCTGGTTTTCCTCTGTTGCTTCAAACAGTGTATGGATTTTGCTTGACGTTGTATATTTGAACATGAAGAGCTTTGACTGAAATGAAATGTAATGAGCGTAGTGGGCTTAAGAGCTAATCATATTCACCCTGCGAGTGCCCAATGAAAGGGTAAGATTATTTTGAAAAACAAAGACTCTATTGATAATCTTTCATTTCCATGACAGCTTCTTCTAGAGGACCTTCTGTGCAATCTAACCTTATAGCACAAAATAAACAGATGTGTAGTTTCACTTCTTATCACTCATAAAATTATTCAAGGCTTTGTTCATGGGTGTTTGTGTGTACACTTGTGTGAGTAAGAGAAAGAGAGAGGGGTTGTCATTTGCATGGCATCACCCTCATGTAGACTTCATGAGGAAGATTTCTAAATGGCTATAATGATCAAAGGTATTCATATCTAAGTGGTAGAGTCAAGGCAAAACATAAATCTTATCATGTCTGACCACTATGATGTCATACTGAATATCCAATATTATATGGGAAAACAGATCATTCAAAGACCTTCTAGTCTATGACACACACAGGTGACAAATTAAAGGAAAATGCTGAATAAATGAGTGACCTCTTGGAGGACGACAGCACCCCCATGTACAGGGCACAAAGGGTCTGTGAATGGCTTGATGAGGATGACAGTGGCATGAATCATATGCTATGGCCTTCAATCCACTTGAACATACTGTATATGGGAGATGTTGGAGTGACGTGTTAAACAGCGACTCCACCACCATCGCCAAAATAACAAATGAGGGATTATCCTTTGGAAGAATGGTGTTCATCCCTCCAGTAGAGTTCAGAAATTTGAAGAGTCAATGCCAAGGTGCACTGAAGATGTTCTGGTGGCAGCCCAACACTTTAGGTGGGGTTTCCTTTAATTTGTCACCCATCTGTACATTATTTGAAATCTTAACATAAAGCTTTTCATACTCTACCTGATCTGCCCCAAAAGGAGTGATGTTGGACTTCACAGTACCCACACCTAATGCAATTAGAAAAAGTCCACTGTAGACAGCAGTGCCACAATATGAGGCACGAACGGGACAGGTTACATTGCTAGGTGGGGTACTGTTTGTGCTCATACATTCAGCAGGTTGCACAGGAAATGCCATCTCTTCTCCACATAGGTGTATCCTGGTGTTCTCATTTGAAATAAAAGGGAAAAATAGCATGCCAATAAGATATAGGATCAAACTTGAAGCAATTGTCCAGAATTTCCCAAGGAATGCATCTGCCAACCAGCCTCCAAATGGCGAAATCAGGTAGGTAACTCCCATGAATATCAGCGAACCCTGGCTTGCCCGAGTACCCTCCCAATAAAAGGGACTACTATTGAGAAAAAGGACCAGATTGGATGTGATGCCATAGAATGCAATCCTTTCTAAAGATTCAGCCAACAGGATGGCTGCGCATGCTCCTCTTCTTCCCTGGAAAACAGATGGTGGTGAATGTCTGTTCCCAGAACCTGAGTCCAGAAGAGGGGTGCTCTCATTGGCATCCCTTCTGCTTGCCATTCTCAACCAATTTAATGGCTTAGGTTACTCCTCGATTAGTAAGAGTTCAAACCTGCAAAAAGAAAATACATGGGAAGTTAAACCTAGCCAAGTGTTGTCAAAACAACAAGCTTTGCCGAAGTCATATTAACTGTGAGTCTTCTTACTTAGTAAGCTAGCTAGGTTTAGCAACAAGACTGCTAGGTAAGAGTTTGGTTTAACATTACCTTTAATTACTGACACACGTCCCAGTCGTCTTCACTTATCGCCATTAACTTAGATAACGTTTAGCGCTCAAATATTCTTCTGATTTATTGATGATTGGCAAACAACGCAGCGCTCAAAACTGGATTCAAATCAGTACTTTGTCAAAGGAGAACTGGAAGTCAACAAAACCAGTGTCACAGTACTACCCCGTGACACTCTGACTCAGTCAACAATTGCAAAACTTGTACCGCTCAAAAAACGATGTATAAATGAAACTTACCCGTGATGTCGCGTAAAACGAGTGTGCTAACAGCCTATCCACGTGATTTGGAAGACGAGTCCATTTATGCGGACGCTGGGCCACCGAAAGAAGGAAGTAGCGGTGCAGTTTCGTTGTTTGTTTGTTTTTTTTTTCTTAGTACTGCTTTTGGCATTGACAAAGTTGTCAAAAGACAGGCGTATTTTTTCGTTCGCTTTTTTTTACTCTGTTTTAAATGATGGTCTTGAAACATAATACAGAAATTGGTTATTAGGGCCTGTACAGTATGTGCGACCGTGATGTGTTTCCAGGGAACCATATAGGAGACGGACTTGTAAACATGTCAAACGTGGTGCAGTGCCAGGTAATGAGCCTAGCATAACGTTAGCTTACTTTGTTCCTTGCTGCTACTTGTCCTCTGCGTGGTTTCAGGAAATGTGATAGGACTTCATTTTAGCAAGCATACTAAAGCAGGCTGTACAGTCGAGGATCTGTGCTGCAGATGCAGAAACCATATGCCCTACTTATTCTGTCTGATTTTCAGAAATCTTTACATGTCAGCTATTTAACGTTAGCTCATCAGACAGGTGTTGTGTTGAGATGTGTTTCCCCGTCGAGATGTGTTTCCCCTAACCTGAACCCTAATCTTATCCTAACCATAACCACAGAGGACATCGATCCAAGAAACATTGTTTTAACAAGGGGAAACACATCCTGACGGGAGAACACAAGACCGGCCTTAGATAAGAAATGAAATTCCTCTTTCTTGCATGTCTTAGCCCAAGAACTGGGAACCACACTACAGCTGAGAGAATAAGGTAATACACATTTTTGCTAACAGTTGTTGCTTAATGTTTTAGCCTATGAAAGTGCATTAGCCTATAGTGAACTGTTAACCAGGGCTATCTAAAATAAATAAATAAAGCTGCTCTTGTGAAACTGCCTATTTTATGGTACAATGGCTGTAGTAAACTAGCTGTAACATTATGAGTCAGCTACATACGTGTACAATGGCTTTAGTGAACAGCTATTTCATGACTGAGGAGGGTGACGCTCTAGGCAGGAAGCTGTGACAATAGTAAGGAAGCAACAAAACGTCTGATGGCCGGTGATAAATAAAAGTAAAGGAATTTGAGATCATTTTAATGTGTGTAGCTTTGCTCATCTAGCCTGTCTCCCTACAAGCCATCCACAGTAATATGTTTCTTTTATTGTAGGTCCCACATTGAATCAGCAGGACACACTTGTGAGCTCAGAGATGTAGCAGAGTTTCAGTCTCCTGCTGATGTGGCACACCTCATATCTCAGAATCCAACATTCGAGGGTGCACTGGCCATTCATCTGTTCAGAGCAGGCAGACTTCTCCTGGGTACACATGCTTGCTGATATATATGATATTTTACTTATCGACTGGATACTTATCTCCCAAAAACATTAGAACCCGTCTGTTTGTCTATCTACCTACCTACCTATCTACCTAACAGACATCCAGCTACCCTTTGGCGTCATCTTTGGCGGAACAGACATAAATGAAGATGTGAAAGTGGAGCAGAAGCGTGTGGTTATGGAGCAGGTGCTACTGAAAGCCAGGTAATGTTGTTACGCACTACTATTTTAACCCATTTGATTTATTTCAAATGGCTCCAAGTTGAACACTTGACATTTTTGTTCTTGATTTAACATGTTACTTAAACTGTGGGCTTTTTCAAAATGTTTTTTGATTTTTTTTTTTTGTGAAAATGTGTGTTTTGTTTTTTTTGCTTGACCACTGTAGTTACTAATGGGAAACACAAAATATGCATTAGACCTAAGTCATGATTCTAAAATGTGTAATAGGCTGTTTTATGGCAGACCTTTTAACATGTAGCAGGAAAAGCACAGGTGCAACTAGTAACACTAGTTATGGAGCAGATGAAGGGCCCTGTTAATGTGCATGTGTATTCATTGACTGCATGGAATCAGACCGTCATTATTATTAGTTGCACTTTTGTTTGTCCTGCTGTGACAAAGGCAAAATGTTTCTGTTGGATCTGTCTGAACAAATGATGTGAGCACAATATAAATATATGAAAATTAGACACCTCATTGAGCATTAGAACCAAGTGTTCTAGTAATATATCATGACATATTTACATACTTCTTTTTGTAGAGGTTTGGTGCAGACATCACTATCCGAAGGTGCGAGCAGGAAGTGAATGTGATCATTTATGTCTCTTAATTTAAAGAGTTCAATCCCTAATTTAATTAACATTGCAGTTTTCAGGCTTGGGCATACTAACAAATGTTTTACAGCTTTACAAGCTCAAAGTGAAATTGCTGACTAGTGTGATTATTGCCATAAATCTCTGCATATGTATATAAAAGTGTGGATAGCATTCATCTTTTTAGTTTTGTTGTAGATATCACTATAAAGATTACATGAAAGTTCAGAATTTTAAAAGTGTGTTTCATCGATACTTGAGCAATTGAATCACATTAACTAGTGTGTCAATTCTTGGTTGGGTATGAAAACCTGGATTCCTAGAAGTGCCTGGCATGAAAGGATGAGGCTGAACACATGTGAGCTAACCCCAGACCCCGGTGTCTCTGAAACCATTATGATGATCATAGATGGTAGGGCATCCATCTAGTAAGTCTAAGGGAATAATTGCCTTCTGGGAGAACTGGGGATATTCAAGTCTCATAACTTCAAACATCTGAATCCACACACCTCCAGCTGTTAGTGCCTTCTCACACGAGCCTTGATCATGGAGTTCAGTCTCACACACACACACATGTGCAAATTAATATCTCCCCACTTGTTTGATGCTCCACATTCCTTTTGTTTTTCTCTTTGTATTCTTGGACTATTCATCCTTAAATCCTTTGCCTTCAAACCACAAGTCTTTTTTCTGCTTTCACAAACTCAGTCTGACCCTGGAGATGTTTATGTTTTTTCTGTTAACACTGCTGGTTCTTCTGTTTTTGTTAAATTTGTCATTGCATGTAAAAAAAAAAAAGAAAAGGCCAAAACTTACTGGAGCAATGAAAATTCTTTTTATTCGTTTTATCAGGTTTGCAGTTGCATTTACTGACAAACTGAAAGAAGCGGCAGAATCATTTTTGGTATGATTATTCTCTTTTGTATTTCAGCAGATCAGCTGTAGTGGTTTATATCTAATAGGTATTGATACTTGAATGTATAAGTCTGTGTATAGTGTGGCACAATTGTTTTACTACACAGTTTCTATGTAAGCCTAACTGCTGGTTCATCAGTATGTTTATGACTTCCTGCTATGTTGCCCTTCAACCCTCTATATAAACCTAACGGTGAATAAGACTGTGATACGTGATATTTTATTATAAACCAATTGCTGACCCATGTGTTACCGAACTGCTGTGAAAGATCAAGAGTGAAAGCAAACACACTTTGTTGGAATTGTACGACACATCAACAGACAGCAGGAGCCTGACAGCTCTAATATATACAACAGAACAACTCTTACTATATAAACACAATATCCTGCCCTGTCCTGTAATAGTTTGGCATTAAAACAATATTACCCTGTTTTATTTTCAGATTAGATTCTAGCTGTAAGCTGCCGATTGAGGCGAATGGCATGCTTTATCTCTGCCATTTAGAGTTGACAGCAGGCAGACAGGACAGGCACTGAGAGGCATCGCCTCGCTTTTTATTGTGACAGAAAACACACAAAGGGGATGGATGTAGTGTGATAACATCCAGTCAATTTCCTTTCCTTCCCCTCTGATTTATTCTGTAGTAGCTCCATTATGTTAGCAACGGAGTCTTTTAAAGTCTGGAGCTTGTTTAAATATGTTTGGAGTGCGGAGAGTATTAATTGGCTGTTACTGTTGTGTCACATAAAGAGAAAGGCGCACAGTTATTACTAATCACGTTTAATGCTTCCAGTAATTTCTGATTGATTTTAAACATTTAGGCATTTTATTGGTTGATACTTAATGAGAATTTTCTATTGTTTCTTTTTTTTTGTCCACTGAAGTTGTCCCAGAGAAGTAAAATCTTTGTCCAGCCCCAAGGTAAGCTCTCCAGGGTGATTGTGTCCCCCTGACTTGCTATTGAAGTGTTGCATTAATTAGCTTTCACATTTTTCCTCTGTTATTATGCTGTCTGCGGTACAGAGTTGATTTTGCTCTTGCCATTGGCCCCTTAGAACTGCTCAAATCACACTTCCATGTTGTTTTTCCACCAGTAACTTTGTTTGGCAATTACTGTCTTTTCATAGATCAGAGGGCAGCTGCAGGGCAGCTGCATGGCTGAGCCTGGACCAGTGACAGCTTATTTTTTATGCTTGTAAACCAGATAATGATCATTTTAAAGTGCTTTTTACACAGTGACACAAAATAATATTTTAATTACATTAATTTTGTTTTACCGGTTTTAAGTTAAATTAATGGTGTGTTTAATATAAACATCAATCTGTGTACCTCTTATGAATAAAATACAGGATGTGATTGGTGTTTTTTAGTTTGACGTGTCATATAACTAACAAAGCATCTTAAAACCAGTTTGCCTCCATAATTAAAAGCCATCTTGATAATTAGTTTTATAATATTATCATTGGTGTAAAGTAAAAGGTTTATTAAGAGCACTGTGCCTTTAATGGATGTGTTTATTTTAAAGGTATCCAGACGGAAGTGGCTGAGGAATTTTGCTGGACTGAATTCTTGAGTAGCTCAGGTACTGTTAGTGTTTCATTTGGTTGTCATTCTAGCTGTTGCCTAGTTGATGTGGAACTAGATCGTTCACAACCTTCAATGTAACCAGCTTTCAGATGTTTTAATTTATTTGCCTTTGGTAGAACATATTTATCACTGAAAGATATTCTGAGGGAGGTGTGTGGATCAACCAGAGTATTCAAATAAAACTTACTTTTCAAAAAGTATTTAATATTTTGTTTGGTGTGCTAACCCTTAAAATAAGGACTAAATAGTAAATATTAAAATTACATAAGTATTTGTCATACTTTGAATATACTGGGTTTTGGCTTGAGGTTTTGTTCTCTTAGAAAAGGTTATTGGCAAGCAGCATTTTGGTCAGGCACTGAGTCCCGTACAAGCATCAGAAACTTAGCTGACAGATGAGTCTCTCTGAATTATCAAGGCTCATGGATACTTGTGTGCACATCCACAGAAACTACCGTACATGGGACATGTGCTGGATGTTCCCACACTTTGAAATTTAAGCTCCCCTTTACACTTTGTTTTGCTGGTGTTATTTTGTCCTTCTATACTCAGATGTGTCACGTGCTTGATAAGGGAGGCCATAGTTTCTATCACAATTCCACTTATCCAGCACTTTTCCTTCTCTCTTGAAACTCGCATTTGAATAGTTCAGTAAATATGCACTTTTCCTCCAAGCATCCTCTCCACAAACAGTGTAAACGTTAAAATGGACATTGCAAAATAATGTCCATCCCAGGTACCTTAGTGCTCATAGAACACATTGTTGAGTACAGAGGAACAGCTGATTAATATCTCTCCAGCTCAGGGACATTTGTCATCAGGCTTTACACTCTGTGCAAGTAATACTATTTGCCTACGTCCATTCTCTGTTTGTTATATTAGAAGTAGGAGTTAATGCTATTGTGCTTTTTGTCAGATGTGATGAAAGAGCTGTGAACTGACTCATAGCTGTTCTTCATGCTATAGATAGTTTCAGCTTCTGCATGTGTACAGTCTGATTGCATTGTCTGAGTCATTTTTTTTAAATGGATGTGGATTAGATATGCCAGGTAGAAAACGTTTCATCCAGATGACGCGTACTCTGGATTACTACTTGTGATTGTACGTAATAAGGACTAGTGAACGTGACCCCAGGTCAGATATGTGATATGTGATCCTGCAATTTATGTTTACTTATTACACATGTGCCTTAGTTATCATAAAACAAAAAATGTAGCCTAAGCATTGCTGTTCAGGTGTCACTGTGTGGTCCTGATGATTTGATGTTTGTTGACCTGCATTTTTTTCTCAGTCTCAGCAACTTCACTTTTGTTTTCCTGAAAAACAACACAGTCTGACAGAAGTGACTTGTGCAGCAGCCTGTGTTCTCCTCTAAGCGCTTACCATCCTTCAGTCTTCACACACACTCCCAGCACAGCAGGGGGCACCATCCTGTGTGTGTTCTCTCCACATCTCAGTGCATATCGATTCACTTTTTCTTCCCTCCATTTTGTGTGACATAAGTGAATCATTAATAAATAGCAAAGTCTGGGCTATATAGCTTAATGAAGTTGCGGACATGTTTGAATGTTAGGAATAAATGTGTTCAGTGTGGTCCACTGAAAAGAACTCCACCAGTGAGCATACAGTATAAGAGGCAAAGCAATGTAAGTACTGTATGTGTGGTTGTTGTCCTTTGGGTGCATGCGCCCTTCAAAGGCAGTGACTTCAGCACTTGAATTCATAAGCTGACAGTCCATGAAAGCCACTCACTGTAAGTTTTTTTTTTTGTAGCACCTGCTGTGTGCTTTGTTAGATGGGGTTAAGGGGATACGTGCGACAAGTGGAACTGTGGAGTGAGCAGCAGTTCTTTGAATCGCTGAAAGATGAGGCGAAACAAAAAAGGGGGTGTGTTGTTACCTTGACCAGGTACTTAGTTTTCTGATGATTGGTATTGAATAAATTAGACATGAAGTTTCAGTGAAGTGGCCATATGAGTGATGATGAAAATGCAAGGTGAAGGTTAAGAGAAAAGTCCATTATCACCTTAAAGTCTGGAAGCATGATCAGGGAACAGTGTATCATAGCATATGCATATATATTAGGGGATGCATGGGTTAATATATTACCATGATGAATTTTCAGGTTGTTTTTTCCATATTCAAAACAAAATACATTTGTGGATCACTGACATAGCTTCAACTAATGCAAAAAAAATCCAGTGTTTTTAAAGATATTTGAAACTCATATTTCCAAATAAAGTACCTGACTCACCCCATAATGTTAGGTTATATACACACAACAACTATCCATACTCTGTTCTTGGGATCTGTATTGGTTGTTCTTTGCCATTTTAAGAAAACAAGTGTCAAGCCCCCTTTTTAGGCTCACCATTAGTGAGGTCAAAGGTCAAGCTCACTGTGACCTTGCGTCCATCCCATTTTTGTAAAGGAGATATTTCAAAAATGCCTTGAGGGAATTTATTTTATTTTACTTGGTATTTATTTTTGCAAAGCTCCAAAATCGTTGTGCAATTTCAAGGGACATGACATGAACCTAGAAGATAAAGAGAAAGAAAGAGGAAAAAAGCAAAAAGTTATTTAAATTCAGTTCAAAGCTATGCAGCCTTAGTACAGTTTATAAAGATCAATTAAACATTTCTGTTCTTTGAACTTAGGTGTGTGGTCGATAGGCTATCTGTGTATGCTGTATCGGCACGGTCATGAGATTATACCCATGTATGTGTAGCAGGATCAAAGGTCAAGGTCCCAGTCCTGTGAATTTCCCTGGTTGGCAGAGGTATAAAGCCACAATGCGGTAACTCAAATTTTTTTCTTTTGTGGTGATAGCAGGACAATTCAACAACATGAGCAACCAACAGTGAAACCTATGCAGAAGCTCTTGGACAACCGCAGCACAAATGCTGCTATTCCTTTTTGTTTAGCTTGGTGTATGGATGGATGTACTGTATAGATGATGATTCTTATTAATTATTGTAAATGTTGTGAAGTGTAGGCTGTCGGTGGATCAGTGGTCTGCAGCGGAGAGTAAGAAACTCACCGGGCTTCTCACATTTCAGGGTACACACCTGCAGTCTGGATACAATCTATGAAACCTTTAAAGTGCTAATTGGCCTAATATGTCTGACCTGTGTAACTTCATTAGTACATGTGATTTTTCTTAGCCAAGTTCTTGTTTTCGATGGTGCTGTTTTGTCTACACCCTGCAGGCTCTGTAGTCTGTGTCACCCTGTGCCACTCAACAGATTAATAGGAGCTGTTCAGACAGATACTTGCTCCCACATCCATGCACACACATATACTGTACACACATGCATATTTGCTGATTAAAGCATTAGGGGATTGTTCAGAATGCCCTTCTAAAATCAAAGGCAAGCAAACAAAAATGTGCTTTGCATAGAACTAACAGAGGCACAAAGATAGAGAGAGAGAGAAAAGATTGCTGCTGGCACAACAGATGATTTGTGCAATTTGTTTTTCCTCCCCTGAGGAAAGATGAATTATGTCTTAGATCCAAAGGGTTTTTTTTTTCTTTGAATTTCTTGTTTGTTTTGACAGGTTTGTGCTGTGGTACGATCCCAGCTATCCTCCGTTATTTTCCTGTATCTTGTCCCGAGATGGTGACATGGGTGTTTACCGTGACTGACGTTGCTTTCTCATCCTGCGAATCAATGCGAAGTTCAACACATTTTGCAGATGAAGGGCTTTTTTGACGATCAGCTCCTAGGATCAGGATCGATGCCCAGACTCCATGCTGTCTTTTTAAGATGCTCTTTAATAGCATGAAAAGAGCTGCCTCAGCCTCTTGATCTGGACTTATCTGGCAGCAGGGGATTTCACTTGACTGTCACTGTGCACATGTTAGTGTCTATCTGTGCCATTATTTCCTAAATGTTTGTCATAGACACCAAGTATTTTTTTCTCTGAGTTGTTTTTATACCTAAATGTTGGTTCAACACTGCTTTACCCTTCTGGTAAAGCAGTGGGTCGCTATCAGCCATAGAAGGGACAACAATGAATAATTCTTTCCCTTAGGGTAACGCCCTAATGCTAAAATGTTTGTGTTGATGCAAAGTAATTTTCTTCTATTCATTTATCAGACCTCAACCTTAAAGTGTTGCCTTTTGTACCAACCTTGCTTTAAGTTTACACAAAACCATCTTCTCAGTCGTTGTAAAATGCTGGTGCATCTAAATGTTCTCGCAGAGTTTTTGATCTCAGTTGTTCTCCGTTGTTTCCGTTGGTTGGTCCACCACTTTGGCCCAGGCTGAAATATTTGATGCATATCATTACATTTAGTACAGACTTCATGATAAATTGTAATTGTTTTTCGGAGTCCTCAACCTTCAACCTTGTGCCTTTATCAGGTCACAGTTTGTCCAGTACTTAATGACCAAATACCTGCCACTAATACACTAAACTGAGATAGTGGACCCTGGCTAATTATCAGCATGTTAACATGCTGACATTAGTATTAATCTCAAAGCACTGCTGTGCAGCCCCTCAGGGCTGTTTGCACGACTGTGGACTCTTAGTCCTGGGGTTACCCTTCTTTGCTCATGGGCATATTAGCAATGAGCACCTTTCAAATAGTAAGTTGGCTCCCTGCTCAGCCTGTTCTCCATGAGGCAGTGGTAAAGGTAATTTGAACCACCTCAAATGCAAACACTTAAGAGCATGTACAGTGCATAGAAATGATCTATTTAAAGCTAATTGGAGAATTTGCTTATCACTGAATGTTTCGAGTGTGTGCCACCGTTGAAAGTATGCAGGACTATGTTAGCAGAATCAGGACTTGCATCCTCTGCTTGTAGAAGGCCAGGTGCGCGACAGTTGCTGCTGGTATTGAGCACAAGTTGTATGCCAGCCAGTTTCTGACTAATCTCTGGATTTACCCTGAACATGAGTTGATCTGGGAAAAGATCTGATTTAGCGGCCCTGCCTCCCAGTTAAAGTAACGTTTGATGTTGTTAACATGATGTTGGGTTCGCTAATTTCAATCTAGGGTTGTTCAGTGAGCAAATTGTCACCCGGACGATCTGGCTCTGTGTTTATGATGCTGTATCACACACTAATTAGGCTGCAACCTTCCAGTGTTTGCAGCAGACTATTTCCCTGCTGAGCGTTTCAACTCTGATCAGAGAATTGTGCTAGCACATTAGTCACTGCTGTCTTATTTTCCTCATGACCTTGGGTGATGTATTGCTTTCATTATCTGCAGATGTACTTGGGATGTTCATTATGCAGTGTTTTCATAGTGTGTCACTCTGTCTGTGTGTCTGGTTCCAGGTATAAGCATTAAGCATGTGGATAAGCTGCGTGTGTTCCTGTTGGTCTGTGGCCTCCGAAGAGTCAAGGACCCCCTCTATTTGGTGGAGGTTTTTTCAGGTATACCATGTAATTTGTAATGTTCATGATTTATTTTATATATGTACCGGTAATGAAAAACTCCAAAAACATAATCATGTAATATATAAAGAAGACCAGCTAAGAGAGGGGAGGGGTTTCTTGCTGACATGTTGTCACCCTGTTCAACCACAGTGTTGGGTAAACCACCACATTACAAAACCTTAACAACTACATATCTGTAGTAGCATGTAATAGAGGCATTGTCTTCATCAAATAAGGATGATGTTGGGTCTCTGCAGTTGAATTTCAGCTAATTGAAAACCGATGTGAATGAGCAATGATATTCTGCTGACAGCTCACGGTGTTCCTTTTTATATATTGTTGTGAGTATTGCCACTGATTAGCAATATCAGTGAGATCTTTTATTATTTTCTGAAAATTTAATAACGCACAGTTATGGTAATAGGACATCACCAGAAGGCGTCAAATTGTAAATGTTTGTTTCAGACAGAAGAATGAGATGTGTGGATTTTAACATGGCATTTTCCTTATACATTCCACATACTTAATAATAAACTAGTGGAGCAAATATAGCTGTAAGAATTCTGTTTAAAAAAAAAAAACCTTTACTGCTTCTGATAAAGCTGCTGATGTTCAGTGTTTTTCCTCAGACTATTTTTTTTGACATTGCCAGTTTTGTGTCTTTCAGAGTGGCATTGTGAGGATCCGCTGAATGTGTTGGTCATTATTGGGCCAAAGGTAAGTAGACTGCCATTATACAGCAGATCAGGATGTTTTTTCATACTTGTCATGTGTCTCCCTCTGTACTGTGACTTTCTGTACGGTTGAAATTACCTAGAAATCCCGCCCCCCAGGAATTGAGGCAGCCTATAATTGGATGCAGCAGTGGTGCTGGCTTTAGCTCTTTAGCTGGAATTAACGAGCCAGCGCTGGAAGGAAATGGCAGTCTTCTGCAAACAGGGCAAGGGTCTGCAGCAGCAGTAGTGGCCCTGTTTCTTTTTTGTGTCTAACTGGCTGCCTGGTCTACTGATCGCCTGCTCCAGATTAGTACTTGCCTATGACTAGGGACCTGTATAGTGCCACCTCATTTTCATACACATGGAAGGGCATATGTCTGAACATGTGCTGCTATAAATTATGCCAAAGTCTTGTCAAATAATTGGACAAAAGCAGGTGAACTCTTGCAGCCTGCCAGCACTAAAGGTATTAAATCAACCAGTCAGTCAAAGAATCAAATTAGATTAGTTTTTATGCATTTACTGGGAACTTTTTTTTTTATTGTTGTTGTTTTATGTCTCTGGTTAGTACTAAGTCATATTCTAGCCAAGAGCTGCAGCCTTAGTGCCGTTTCATTTCAAACCTCTCACTCACTGATTGCATGCTTGTACCCCCCGACTTTATTTGATATGACATAACTGTACAGTAGTTTAGTGTCTGTTCTTTCTTTCAATCAGGGTGTCAGGCAAAAGGTATGTTCTGCTTTAGTACTGCTCAAAATCAACTCAGCTAGATGCGTCCGAGGCCTTATATGTTGTCTTACTGATGCTTTCTTCTCCGCTGTGTTTTGTTTGATGAAATGGTTCAGTGGAAGCAGAGACAGATGATTCATCTCGACACCCCTGAATCACAGTGGAAGCATGCTTGTTTGTCTGGCACATTAAAATCCATACATTATTATAAACATGTATTTGCGTTACTGTCAGATTTTGCCATTTTAAGATTCCACTTTTTGATTAAGCCTTGTTGGTTATATTTGATGAAGTAAGAGTAATATCTAAAAATACAGTTAGAGTGAGACATGAATTGCTCAGATTGTCATCTGATATGAATCCTACTTCACTGAAGCAGCATCTGTTGTGGAGAGGAAAATTTGTCAGTTTTTCAGCGATGACACATCTGGCTCCTCTGTAAATAGGTGTTATCAAGCGCCGCAATGTGCTGCAAATTCTGTATTATGATGAAATGAATTTAAAGAGTATTGTAAAATTGTAATGATAGATCTTGACAGGCTTTTGCATATTTGTTGCTTGAAAAAAACGAAATCTGTTTCAAAGGACAAGACAAGCATTGTCATCATCACAGAACAGGAAAACATTGACAGATTCACTGACAACAGCATCTTCCTCCCCCCAGCCACAATCTTCCATTCTGATTTCTGTTGATTCACCCTGGGACAGTAGAGAATCTGCTCTTAGAGAACTGGTGCTTGTTAATACAGCCTTTATTGTGAACTGTCCCCTGCTGATTTCACAATGTCTGTTAAACCCCAAATTACACCAGAACACAGTCATATTGTTAGTTTCGATTCTTTCATTTTAATGCACACACATATTAAAGCAGATTCAATTTAGAAATTCCATGAGCTATAAATGAAAGAGAAATAAGTAGCAACATCTTTGACCTAAATTGCTTTGCTTTGACTTCTCTGTGGACAGACTAATGCACACAAATCCCACATTAATCAGATTGGCCACCCACCCCACCCTGATTCCAATTTCTAAAAATCCTGCCTTTTTAGAGAATCATGTGAATCATCAGTATTGATTGTGTCATTGTGTACTTTATCCTTGATGAAGTAATTGCTGGCGTCCTTGATGAAAACAGATCTTAGGACAGCCAGAAAAAGGGTTTCCCTTGTTTTTGTTTCTCTTTCAGATGGATCCTGTGCTTACAGTGGAAGTGGAAGCTGTTGTTAAAAGGTGTGTTTTCATTATTTATTACTCATCTCATAACAGCAAACTAATATCTGAGCAAATGTGGCTCTCATGTATCTAAACATATTGTGAACAGAATGCAAATCTGAGGTGAACGCCAAGGTTCTCTTTTCTTTTAATCTCTCCATTCACTCTCAAATCTTAGCTGGTCTTTCAGTTTTGTTGGCAAGGGCCTTCACCACAACAGAGATCTGTGCTACAGGAAGCTGCTCTCTCTGTTCAGGACTTCACCTGGACGCTCCATTCATGTCACACATAGTGCCAGACGTGTTTCTGGCCCTGAGCTTGTCACTGCTGTTCAGCCTCATTGATGCCTCTGTGAGTCATGCAGAACTGAGCTCTGCCACTACTTCTGCAGAACAGCAGGGGTCTTCTTGGCCCAGGAGAGGAGCCGTCAGGAGCTTCATGCTGCAATGAAAAGGTGCTTCGCTGTGGTCAACAGCTCCGTCTCCGAGGGCATGTCAGGAGCCATCTTGGAGGTAAACATCTTCAGGGCTTATGGGTAATTGGATAAGAGCATTTACTGGCTTCAACAATTCAGCTGCTAAACACAACTTTATCCTTTTGTTGTATTGTGGTACAGAATAATATGTTGGTAATTAGAATTTGGTTTATTACATTATATGCAGGAGATTTGCCATACAAAGCCCTTGGAATGTGAATATTTACAGGAGTCCTTATCTCGCTGTTTGTTACTCAGCTACAATGTTATCTGACCACTTCAGGAACAATTACACAAATTAAACACTTAACTCCAAACTTCCTGTTCCTGAGTGAGCAAAACCTGCAAATCCACTTGATCTCTCTTAAATACAGCCGACTGAGACAATCTACAGTAGGCTTAAAGTCTTACTAGTATGTTAGCAGGTTTCACTCAGCTACCTGTTGAAGGTGATGATGATAAGATTGTTAATTTTATAAGTAAACTAAGGCACTGAAGAGCAGAACAGCCTATGCTGTGCTAAGCTGTGTGATTTCCAAGGTGCTTAGGTGTTTTTTTCCCCCTAATAATAACAATAATAATAATAATAATAATATTAATAGAATGAGTGAGTAAATTTTGTCTGTGACTTGTGTGTGAGTGTGAGTGTTTAATCTCTTGGCTCCAACAGGCCATGGATCTTGGAGTACCTGTGCTGGCCAGGAATATTCCAGGAAATGCCGCCGTGGTGCAGCATGAGTTCACTGGCCTGTTGTACTCATCTCCTCAGGTATATTGTGACAAGCACTCACCATGTGCAGTAGTGTCAAAGCACCATGTGACTAAAGCATCCCATTCCTGGCAGGGATTTGTCTTCCAGGGCTCTATTGAGAATGAGGTTGTAAACCTCAGTGGGATTACCCTGGAAAAATAAAGGTTAAATAAAAAATAATAATAATTTAATCATAAACTCTCACAATTTTGGGTTGGAAAAGTAACTTTACATCATTTTGTAAAACTTTTCACTTAAAATTCTTATCATTTGTTCAATATAAGCAGGTAAAATGTAACAAAAGGAGATGATGTTTCCTCAGGTGCTTAGATTAGAATCAGAGAGTGCAGCCTTCAGGGACAGAACAAAGATACCACATTACCACGTAGTGATGCAATGCATAGCAGCAAGCACGAAAGCGCAAAATAGGAAGCTCCCATGAGAACTTGTCAGTGTGATATATAAAGAGGATTGATGCATGCGGAAAGAGAATAACATACTGCAGGTTAAGGCCAGAGACAGAGGGCTTGAGCATGGCACTTGTAAGACACCGTGCTCTAACGTGACATTGTAACAGCACAGACGAGACCTCTCCTTGGGGAGAGCGTTGGAGTCCACGTGCGCTCAGCTAACTGCCAGGAGAAAACTCTCAGATGGCTGCACTGACTTGGGCTGGATAACCTACGCCTTTAGCTAAGACTGATCGGCAGTGAGTGTAAGCCAAAACATTCCTTGCAGTGATCACGTTCAACACTTTTTTCTGCCCACTTTCAAATCCTCCCCTCTTTTTGATTGATAGTTTAGTATAGGTGTCAAGAAATGTGGCAGAACAAACAAACAAACACACAGGCACCAAAGAGAAAAATTGCCTTTCCTGTCTGGCTCTATAATTTGTACTAAGAGTGAAGTGATTATAAGCTTTAATCCCTTTGCTGAGGATTTATAGCTCTCCTATGGCCATACAGAAGAGCTGTTTCCTACCAAGAGTCTCTCCAAACATAATCATATCACTTGACTGAAGTAAAGTGCAGTGGCCTGCTGACTGACAGTGGCTAAAACTTTGTGTGCCCATTGGCTCTCTGCAGCAATAAATGCTGGCTGCTGTGTTTTGGGAACACTTTAAGGCACTTTCACTTCAATTTGTTGGATGCTTCTCTTGGTCCTCTGGGCCAGCAGATGAGTAAGTAGAGTATAGGATGCTGTGTGGAAACACCCAGTCACAGACGATGCTCAGCAGTGGCATCATTACTCATTTTTTTAATTATCTAATTATTTTTTCTCATCTGCCCCTCCCTGTGTTTCCATGACAGCTGTAACACTCTGTTTTTACCTTTCTTCAAGTGAGAAGTGGCAGCTTTTAGGATGCCCTGAAAAGGTCTATTGGACAGCCATATTTGGATCTGGAGCCACAAATATCTCCATCCTTTGGCAATGTACAGGCACTTTTGAAGTGTTTACTAATCATCATGCAGGATTTTATCTGAGTTCTGTTCTCATGGCTTGGATTATCTTTTATGCTATAAAAAAACATATCTTCAGGCAACATCAGTGGTAAGCCTAAAGTGGCATTTGGCAGTAAATGAGACCTCTTTTTTGCCTTTATCCCCACCAGGAATTTGTGCATCAATCTCAGAGGCTGTTGTCAGATCATGAGCTAAGAGAGAGGGTGGTGAGGAATGGAAAAATCTACGTGGAAGAGCATCACAGCCTGAAACGGGAGAGAGAAACTTACCAGCAGCTGGTGAACACACTGCACTGAGTGTAAGGTCACAGTATTCAACCCCAGCCCAGTTTCTTAGGAATCTCAGCGACGGAGAACAGGAGTTTACACCTGTATTCTGTACTTACCTCGCATAGCTAAGTGTAATTATCACAGGTGTCTTTACCCTCAGTCTTTTAAGCAATCAGGCTACAAAATAACTGTACAAAACAATCATGTTTTTATCTGCACTGCCAGATTGAAATTATACTGCAGAGAACTTCGCGCCAAAGACAAATAACTGTTTTTGCTCTAACGTATTTTATGCATTTGATGAGTGTTATTTATGGTTTAGTATCAATATAGGAAAGGCATGGATTACTTTGTTTATTCATTATATGTAATAAAAGAGGTGAAGGCCTCTGCTTGGTTCTGACTGGTTGGTTATCTGAACTTGATCATGTACTCTACTGAAACAGCAGTAGGTGTGTTTCATACTTAAAAGCCTGGGAGTGCTGTTAAAACTAGATTTTTCTCTCAAATGCAGTGTTGAACCAGTTAATTTACTCTTGCTAAGAACAGTCTAGTCTTTTTTGCTGCAGAGTGAATGGTACCACATTCATTTCTAACAAAGTGTAACGGTTGGGTTGCACACCCTCGGGGCCCTGCAAAACTCAATTTGTTTAAAGGGCAAAGGGGCATGAAAGGTTCTTGTAATTTGCCATGGCAAAAGTTAATTTCGGCAACACACCGGGGCATGGGCTGATTAGAAAAACATGACGATTTCCACAATGCTGCATTTTTGATGCAACGGTAAAATTGAGCATTACACAGAATACATATGAATATCAGTACCAGAGATCATGTGCCTTAACAAACTAGCACTTGTGTAACAGAAAATCAAGTGCAAGGCAATATCAAAGATCATAGTCTTTTAATGAAAAAAATAAATTAAATGAAAATTCGATCAACTTAAATTTACAAAGAAACTAGACTAACGTTTCATAATAGAAAACACCAGTTTAATATTTAATGAACTAAATCCACGTCGATGAAATCCATATCTGTCAGGCTGAATTTTGTATTTTAGCTGGTAATCAATATATTGTATTTGTAATCTGGGAGACTGTTTCAGTGTGTCTTTGTACTGTATTTACCAGCATGTGAGTGCAAAAATTTTGGAATGTAGATATGCACATGCATCATTAACATATGGTGGCATTAAACATTGTTTAAATAATTGTCATTCTGAAATATCTGAAACATCTCCACACGCATTCACTCTACAATATTAATAATAATATACGATAGGAAATGAAATGTAGAGCAGAGTAATTTCAGATTCACATATTCTTGAAGTTGTTGGAGTAAACAAAGGCATTGAGGTGATCAAGTCACATCTACTGTACATGTGAGGTCTGATCAGGCTCTGTATTATAACTGGTCCCCAGGTTGTGTAATGGGAATTTGGGGTTCCTCCTCACAACTGTCCTCCTTCCCAACCCAATGAATGCCATGGCCGTTCTCCCTGGCAGGCAGATGTGGCAAATGCTGGCGCTCCAAAGTGGAGAAGGTGGTGAACTGAACTCTCTTCCTCTTGCTGGTGGGTGAGTGGAGGGACTCAGTGTGTGTAGGTTTGCTCCTGAGGGAGCCCACACAGCTGAGGGGAGAGTCTGTAACAGAGGCCAGGCAACTAGGCTTCCTGGAAAGAGAGGCAGCCTTATCAGGCCCAATGTCTATGACAGTGGTTGCAGTCTCGGTGTCTGGCTGGACAGGGCTGCCTGGCACACTCATCACCAGCTCAGCGTCTGTGCCGAGCCATACCCAGTCATGCCTGTGTCCTGTGAGCTCCTGTCCACGAGAGGGGGGCTTCTTGTGCCTGAATTTAACAACGTATGAAATACAGTTCACCAGAAAAACAAGGATAGCCAGACAAAAGACTCCCAACAGAGCATACATGCCAATCTCCAAGTCTGTGAGTGGCCTGTTGACCAGTATTTCTTCACCACTAGTTTCTGCCTCTGCTGTCTTCTGCCCAGGTACATCCACCTTGTTGGAAAAGTTGTTGTAGTTTACCAGGTTCCCAGGTGCTTTTGCAGTACTTGTAAAGCTAACACTGCTTGTATCCTCCACTATCACATTGTCTGAGTCATATCCTTTGCTGCTGTCACTGGGACTGCTCATCATGCTGACATTCAACACACTGGCAGGACTGCTGGGGTTTCCTGAATTGCTGTTCTTACCCACTCCTCCGAGGCTGCCTCTGGTTATCAAAGTTCGATCCGTAGATTTGATGGTGGTTGTGATCTTCTGCATGGCACTCTCCTCTCTGTCTGAGGTTGAGCTGCGTGGTGGAGTTTCCTGAGACGGCTTCCTCAGTTTCTTCTCACTGTCCACCTCTTCTTTATCATTACCATACTCACTACCACCGGCCTTGCTGCTAACAGTGCTGCTACCAAAGCTGCTGATATTGCCATCCTGCCGCCGGCTGCTCACTTGAAACTTAACTTTTAGGCTGCCATTGCCCACAGCCACAGTACTTTTTCGTTTGGACTTCTGGCAAGCCTCACAGATGGACATTTCTACTCTGACCAGCGCTCCCTCTCCCTCTCCTTCTGCCACCACAGTTGGAGGCGTGCCCTGCACCGACACCACCCCCTGATCTAGTGATGTCACTGTCACACGGTAGTAGGCTGGATCATAAATGTCAAGAGGCGTCTGGTTGCCATCACTGAACTGCACCCAGGCACTGACCAAAGCTTCCTGAAAGAACAGAAAATGGCAGAAATTGTAATTGTGTGCCCTGTAAAGCTTATCTTTGAGACAGTGAAATCGATGAAGATTGTTACCTGTTTAGGGCTCCGTAGCACCTCTTGTGTGGTTGTGGTAGCCACGATAGCTCTGTTGCTTCCTGGACTGAGCTGTAAGGTCATAGAGAGGTCTGTAACCATCTGGACCCCCAACTCTGTGATGGTCACTTTGTCATCCACGACTTTGATTGTTGTCTTAGCCAAGATTATGTCAGACAGTGGAGAAAACACCTGTCATAGAACAATATCCAATATAGTAAATTAATTAGGGCACCTCAGACTGTATTTCCTTATCAGGGTCAGTTCATCTGGATCAAAGTAAAACTTGAATCCAACTTTTGTCTACTCAAAGAGGAAACTACCCTATCCGATTTGTGTTCTGAGTAGCAGATTCTTGCTCTGACCTTAGTCACAGGTTGTTGGGGCAGTGGTTATTCCAAGCAGGGGTTGAGTTAATTACCTGGATGGTGGTGGTCCCATAGTCCCGTCCAGACAAGACCCTCCCAGCCTGTAGCCTTGCCACTTGAGGGTTTTCCACCTTCATGAAGTATCGAACGAGCCTAGTGACATCCACCTGCCAATCAGAGCCCAGGAAATAGGCCTTAGGATCTCGAGGGTCTGCCTGCTCTGCCATGAAGTGAGTTAACACTCGCACCAGTGCATGCTGAAACTGCAGCATGCAACCTTTCCCCTTCTTGTCGTCATCTTCACTGTTCCAGCCAGATCTGGGACATAAGCACAAAGGCACACATGCAGGTCACACCTATCACACAGTGAATGCTTTGACCTGCTATACCCCAGTCACTTAGCCCTTTCTCTGTGTTTGGTTGGATCACATTGAAATATTGCAGTACATGTGTAAACAGATGGTTAGTTTGTGTCCCACCTTTTTGAGGTTAGTATTGGTACCCTCCAGCTTTTGATCTGGCTCAGCTCTGTGTCGGACACCTCAATCTGGAGGGGGAGTTGGGGCATCCACACGTTCAGTTCAAGCTGAGCACTCAGGTAGCTGTAAGTGAAGTTCACCACCATCTTCACTTTACCCTTTGTCTCCATGCCATTCACAAAAACATAGTCACATCTGTCTGACACCTGGATAGGAAGAGGTAAAAGGAACATACAGTAAATATGTTAGGATTTTACTTTCTATGATAATGTCAAGCTTTGTGCAAATGCACTTATAGTATGTAAACAAGCCAGATCAAGGAGATGTGAGACAAATAAATATTTTCATAAAAGCTACTATTTTAACAAATAGTCCATTCAAACAAAACAAATGGCCTTGCAGCAGTTTTATACTGCATGTGTTACCATAGCAATGTCACCTGGCTGTCATAAACTACTGCGATGATCACCAGTCCGAAGCTTTAGGAAGAGGCAGCATTGCAATTTTATGTTAATCAAAATATCATGTGGTGCAGTCCTTCACAGATAAGTGCATTCATTACACCATAATTTCTAATGTGACCTTGGTAAGTTTGGGCGACTGCTGAAAGATCTCATGGACATTCTGAGACAGTCGGGAGGTTTTCCTTGGTCCTCTCAACAGCCACTGTTTTCAACAAATTGGATAATTAACACAGCATTGAAATGCAGTCACCAGCCAGAGAAAGTGCACAGGGGAGTGGAGGGTGGAAATGGTGACTTTGACAGGCAGCCTAAGGAGGAATACAAATAGCACATAGACTCCTGCTCTCATTTGCGTGAACCCAGCAGTTAGCTACACTATGTGCTGTCACAGAGACCTGCTATTTTGTGTCATCATTACATCTGAGCATCAGTCATCCCATATGGTCGAAGCTTAAGCTTTAGAATGACCACATTGCTGTGTGTCATTCTTGCTGCTGAGATGCCCCGGCTTCTTCTTTGTGAATAACCCTGTGGTGGATTTATATCCAATTAGTAGATTTACACTATGTGGCATTGATGCCCTTGAACAGTTGTTATGGAAAATTCTGAATGTGAGCCATGAGCATGCAACAGTATACTGGGACTGCAGTCCTCATGTTTTACCAAGTGCTCCAGTGAACTTAACATGAGCCATGTTTGAAGGCTTTTAATGTGCCATCCGCCCACTGATCCTAGTCACAATCTCATTCTGTAGCCAAGAATGTCCCTCAGTGTTTTTAGTGTTAAACGATATACAGTATTTATGGAAATGGGATTTGTCTTTACTACACTACCCAGTGATAAAAGTCAGGCACACATTGGTTATTATCCAGCTGTGACTGTAGTTTTCTTTGCAAATTAAACAAGCTAAATAAGTTTTAATAAATATGAAGAATGAATGCATCTCTTGCAAAATGCATTTCTTCTTGTAAGCCTTATGCTTAGTTCAGGCACTATATAAATCAGATTCCTATGCCATAGCAGTAAAAGCTTTGATTGATTAAATAGGCATCTATGCACAATATGTCTCTGCTTAAAATGTTGAGGTGTCAGTCGTCTCATTGTGAACTGACAAAGAGAATGCCTGCGTTGGTCAAGTCTCTCCATCATTCACGCACATATTGAAACTTGCTGATTAGATTTCTTTTGTTTTGTTCCATGAACTGTCCATTCTAGATAAATCCTTTCTCATCTATCACTAGCAGATGTGATATTCTTCAGGCACGCCAGAAGAGAAACGATAGCTGAGTCAAGCTGTTGGACTAAGAAGATTAAAGAAGAAAATATTTGTGACTGAAGCGGTTACAGTAAGCTTAGAACAACCCCAAAGACAGCTACATTACAGAGTTTAAAAGAATGATTTAGTCCACCAGCAGGCTCTTGACCCCCTCACGTAATCCAGTTTTTCTTATAACTGACAGCCATCTGCACTAAATACATCTGCATTCACTGTATATACTGTACTGTTAATCTCCACATGGAGCAGCCAAATACTATACTGATTTATTAACTCCTACATCTGTTGTTTGCTAAGCCTGTTTGTGGTATATTTGACCAACAACAAAAGTATTAGAGGGCCACAGTCCACTGAATGTCTTCATTCTTTCTTTACAGTGCCACTTTGCCCTTGATCAAATACATTCACAGTCTCTGACCTCAAGGGACCAGTGGCCTGACTTTCAATTTCATCAGTAAACAAAGCCGGCTTTTGGCAGTCAGCCACACTCGGGTTCATAGGATAAAAAGGGCAAGTCACGAGATCGGAGTATAGGGGCATATTGTGAAGTTTTCTGTGGCGAGTGATTTAGCACAGTGGGCGTTCATTGTTGGGGAGACTGATGGACGATGTACAAGTCCAGCTAAGAGCTTATTTTACCATGTGTGAAAGAGGCAGAGAGTGACTTTGGTACAAGTTATTTATCCACCAGAGTTCTTACCATGAAACCAACCTTGCCTCTGTGAAGCATGTTTTTAATGGCCACTTCAGATTACCCTCCAACCACTTAGTGGACTGATAAGACAAACATCTCACATTCTGTTTATTGCTGCTAAACCCATTTTTGTTCTCTGAGTTCTTTACAGCTTTAAATAAAACCTTTGAAAAAAACATTCTGGGCAACTTCACCACTTACATTTCAACATCATTGTCCATTTTATGTCTTAAGATTCTACGGTAAAACCACTGTACTTAGAATGTATAAAATAAAAAGATTGAAATGATGAATCAGAAGGATATGGTATATAGTGTAGATGTGTATGAGGAGAAAAAAAATACCTTGAGAACATCTTCATCAGTGGAACTACAGTCTGTGTAGTCAGATACATCAGTTACACCTCCATCTTCCTCCACAGCTACTGTCCTCACAGGTATCACCACCTTCTTTCCAGTCAATACAGCTGTGTTCATGATGTCTGTGTCCTGCAGAGATAGGACAAATGCGCCATAGTCAAAACACAAAAATAACAAATCTCATTCACTAATTTAATATTATTTTACACTTTATATGGTGCAAGTACTGTACTACACAGCTTCAGGCTTTAGCAATAGGTGTAACGGGATGCAAGAAGAGGAAGGTAGGAGTGTTAGCAATAGGTGTAACGGGATGCAAGATAAGGAAGGTAGGAGAGTCGGGGCAATGAATTGCGACTCAGCAGCCCTGTTGACTTAGGACGGCAGTTTTTTCTCTATTTTTTTGCACAGACGTGTCTCAGAGGGACGCTGTGTCAGTTCAAGCATGGTCTAATAACTAGAGGCATAGATGTAGACTGAAAATAACTTCTATATAGATAGAGTATGGTCTGTTCTTTAATGCTCAATGTACAGTATTATTAAATAGGTTGGGCAATTGTGGCAAAGAGAGCACCACATAATGGTGAAACAGATGGATATGTGTTGCTTGTAAAAATGCACAGTTTTAAATGAAGCGAAAGTAACTGAACATTGGTTATGTATGTGTATGTGTGTGTGTGTGTGTGTAGCTTAGTATTGAGAGCAGTGGACCGCAGCCCGGTCAAGTTCTGTGAATAATGATCAGTTAAATCAAATTTAAACAGACACTTGGCTACTCAAGAATATGAAAATGAAGCAGATGGATACATGACTCTCGACTATAAAAACTAGTTTAAATGAAGCCGAAATAACTTTTTTTTTCCTCCAACTCTCATTACAATATATGTTGTAACTGCAGTACTACAAAATAATGATCATAAGGTTGTGTCAGTAAGGCTTTCACCATTATACAGAAGTACTGAGCAGTAGCACTTGCAGGAGTTCATGGAGCAAGGCTAAGAGTGATCAGTCAATGCTAATGTCCCCTTGAGCCAGCCATCAAATCTGTTGCTCTCAGCCTGAGGTCAGCTTCTAATCCGCAAGCAAGATGTACCATGTCAAATTCACAAATAAGCATGCTCTAGCATATCCTCATGACTTCAAGCACTCAAGCACCATTATGATGGAAATGTGGTAATAAAAACTCTGAAATTCGGTATAAACATCCCACTGCCAACATGTATGGCATGAAGTAAAATCATTCTTAGCTTTTAATTGTATAAATGACATATTTAACGAATAATGTGTAGTTGAACAAAATGCTAAGACAGAACAGAAGAAAGGGCAAACGGAGTATATTATGTGACAGGTTGTCAATGCCATGTCATTCCAGCAGACAGTGGTGTGCTAAGAAGTCAATGACCCAGTTGAAAGATAATAACTCCGATTCAATAATGTGATTCCAAGTGGTGTAAACTCTTGTGTAACGTTCCATATTTAGCAGGGAAGATTATATCATAGACAGAGTATGATAAAGGGGTATGCGACACCAAAATAGAAGCCATGAAGCATCTGTTACGAGGAAAGGATGACTACATATTGCACACCAGAACAACACAGAAGAGAGACATCAGCTAGCTGACAGTCGACAACACAAGGTCAGTCTGCTCAAAATAGAACCCATTTACTAAACAATCCAAGGCAGATCCAGCCTTCTGTGGATGCAAACCACACAGGAATGGATCAGACCAAAGTTTGTTTTATGATTTCTTCATGCACCAGTTCTCAAAGAATGCAGTGCATTGGCATTATTGGAAAAGCTGCTGTCAGTAACGCTGATGCTGATTATAATGATTATTAGGAGTGCCATGGAAGCTGTTAACTAACGCACCATTACAAGAGGAGCCAGGCCAACAAAGTCTCTCTGAGTGGTGTAGATCCTTATGGCTCCTTCAGTCTTAGCGACATTTTTGGATGCGGACGGTAGCTCCAGCTTCCATATGATCACCTGACTGTCGAGAGGACTGCTCAGCTCCTCAACCTCAAAATCCATTTGAAGCACCTCCAGTAGACTGCTTTCAAGCCTGGATGAGAGGTAAAAAGCAGGGTTAGTTATGCAGATATAATATGTATAGAATAGCTGCATTCCTACCTACACTTCCAATACAACAAATGATCCATAAAAATGAAGATAAACAAGGCAAAACAACAACATATACTGAAAAATGAATGCTACTGCAGCTTGCCAGTGTCAAACTGTATTATCGTTTGGTGCAAGCAATAAAACATTTTTACTGTTCTATTTAGAAAGGATCTAATTCTTTCAACACCTTCATTACAGTAGCAGCAGAAAAACAAAATCTTTCCACCGCCAGTGATAACTCAGTAGGATTATTTCACCACCAGAGTCTCGAATTCCTTTCCCTTCATGTTGAGGTGACTGCATCTGAATAGAGGTGAAGTGATTATACAGCAGTGCATCCTGCACTTCAGCCTGTGGCTTACTGCTCTGAGCACAGGGCAAGTCATGGTAGATCCAAATCCACAACTAGTGCAACCCAGAGGAAAAATACAACACATTGGCTTTTGTTTTATTGTGTCTTTGAGTGTCTAATAAAGACACATTTCACATTAGGTTGTTAGATCATGGCCTCATTAATAGTCTCCCACTATGTTGGCTCTATGGCTATGAGCCATAGAGTAATGACTTGGCCCTGGGAGGCTGTACTTGTAATGTTGCTTGTAGTTAAATGCTAACATCAGTATGCTAACACACTGATGTTTATCATAATGTTTATCATGTTAGTTTTGTAATTTATCATTCTATTTAGCACTAAACACAAAGTAGAGCCAAAGCTGATGGGAATAGCATTTTTTGTAAGTAATGGGTCATCATAGTATTGGACAAATTAAAAATTCAACCTGATAGTAGCACTAGATTAAAAATCAGGGGATCACAAAAATTATTACAATTAATCCTGAGGAGAAGATGGATGTGGGTATTAAATTTCCTGACAGTTAATTGATCATTAATAGATTCATTGTTGTATATGATTTGATATTTTACTAGATAAGTGCAAACTTTCATCTGCTTGTGACATTAGACGCAAAGTCAGAAGATCACAAAGTCAGTGTCCTCTGGTGTCCTTGAATGTGTGCAATTGAATTCATGTCAATTCTTTCAGTATTTGCAAAGATAGATTAGTCTGGCACCCTGATAGCTGTGTGTGTGTTTTCTAATTTAAAGCCTACACAGGATTAAAATCTCATAATACAAAGAGTGATGACTGACCTGGTTTTCAGTTCGAGGTGTCCTGTCATCAGTCTTTTATCATTGTGGTCTATGAAGAATGTGCTTTTTTTTGGGCTGCAGGGGGATTTTTCATTGCAATTCCACTAATGGACACTAGGAAAATTCGAGTGGCAGTACCATATCCAGCTCTCATGATATATTCATCGTCCAGCCGTGGACATTTATTGCAGTTCTCCCCCACCCCCTCTGTTTCCTGTCTGTCTCTCCATGACAAATTTGGGGATGCCCAAAATGACCAGAAGCAACCTGCAGTAATCACAGGTTTTGAGTGTCATTCAGAAACACTTTAACCACTCAACAGAGGTAAGGAAATATGATGCAGTCACGTTGCGGCTGTAATATACTATAGCTGACTGACAGCTACAAATGCACCAAAAGAACCTCATTTACTCTATGCTTCAAAGGCAGTATATATTAGGCCCTATATACTGCAGGCTGCAATAACCAATAGACCATATACCCCTGTTGTATAGATTCAGTTATCATTTTAATGTCTGCTATCAGACTTTGTCTGCAATTGTTTCATATTCAGGAAACTGTTGCCATTGTTAAAAGAATAAAGTAACCTGATAAAGACTGAGACTGGATTTTTTTATGACACTCAGCTCGAAATTCATAGCGAGATCTTATGAATTTGGCCCCAGAGAGATTTTTAAGACAGGGATGTGATCCCAGCAGTTGCGACAAGACCCAGTCCCAACCCCCCTAAAACTGTAGAAGGCTTTGCATCTTCAGGCTGTTTCACAAACTAAAAAAGAATAGAGCTGAATTTATTTGTTCTGGCCATACCCTGGAGTTGATGTTGATGCTAAATGTGCGTAGAATAAAAGGTAGTCTGAGGACAGTGGCATCGTGCATGCACAACAAAGTATAAGCCTGTGTAACTTATAATGGCCTCTCAGTGATGCCAGCTAGAACAGAGTGTCCAAGCCATAGATTAAATTTTCTCCCATGGCTCAAGATAGTATCCTCGGTTTTATTTCTTGGCACTGTATTGCACTATATAAAAAATATATTGGTGGACAAAAACACAATAACTATGCACATATCCACATCCACATGGACATTATCAGACCCTCTGTGCAGACACAGCTCGGCATGAAAATGGCCTCTAACAGGCTGCATACCAGTTGTCTTTCTGCATTAATGCAACGACACTCGGAGAAACTGCAAATCATATGTTGTTAAAGGACACATTTGGTATTTTTCAAGTTGTTCTTAATACAGTGTTGACGTGCACATGTGCACATGGGACTAGGTCTTAGTTGTTGAAACTTCTTCTTCTTTCCACACTGATCGTAAATGTTTCCACCCAGAAAGTGACAACACCGTAAAAGATGAGGGACAAAATACACAACTGTTGTTCTGAGCAAATGTGCACTCCAAAGTTTGTCTGAGGCTAAAACGAAGCTTCACGTGCCCCACTCAGGTACTTTGAGTGGATATCAATCTCTGTAAAGCAATTTAACTCCACTGTGGCAGAGGGATATTTTCTAATAGTCGTGTGTAGGTTTGTTGCTGTTAGCCAGTTTTTACTCCTCAAGTCGTGCTCGAAGGTAACTTTGAACCAAGTTTGTACTTTGCAGATTTGAGAGCTCGAGTATTTTTCCAGTTTGTGGTTTTAGGACACCGGTAAAACTCGCTCCAACTCTGTGCCTATCGGTGCTTACAAAAGTCCTTTTTTGTATGCCTCTCTCACTCAACAATATCTGCCCAAATACAGGGAAAGACGGAGATGTAGTATAATTGAATCATTTTAGCATATTGCTCAGAGACCTGAGATTAAAATTAATGGCAGTCTGGTCAAGCATCAAAACTAGATATGCTTGACTCACATAAACATGTCTATATCCCCTTAAGTATCCATTAAAACAGATATCCATGAGATTGGGGATGCTGCTGTGCTATTAGGTCCTCGGTCATTCTTGTGAAGCTTGCAGGGGAAGGATGCTTCAACAGCTTGTCTATGGCCAGGAGTCTGTCTGTGAATAGCAATGCTTTAATATTAGGATCCAAACCCAGCTGCTGCAAGAGAAGATTAAAAAAAAAACTTTAATGCATATATATACAGCAGATATTTTTAATGTTCACTAAAGACAAAAATTCAGCGAACTTCCCAGCGTGGTGCCACAGTAGGTGCTCTCTGCAGGGGTTTTGGTATGTTAATGACATTTTAGAGAGGATTAGCTGAAATGACTGAGTGGAAAAATATGTTAACCCATAAATAAGTTGTGATAAACAATGTCATAAATGGGGAAAACAACTTAATGAGGACAGCCTATTTGTACAAACAAGAGCAATGTTTTGTCTAATTAAACTGATGTGTCTATAGTTGTATAACTTCTCAAGTTAGTATTTGAAAACCCCACACGTTTAGCTTCAGATAATTTTAATATATCCCTGTACTGGAGTGTTTTTTTCATGTTATATGGAAGTGACGTTCACTGAGAAATATTTTCCTTTTTCTTTTTTGGCATCCTGGCCAGCCACACACACACAGATTAGAGCTTTAGCTTTACAAGAATTTCTTGGAGCTCTTCTGCAGGCAGAAATAATCTGACTGAGTTTGAGTTCAGTCACAGTGGATTCCTTTTTGGAAGCACTGGCAATCTTGAATGGCAAATAAAATTAAAATCAGGCACACAATAACAACATAAATTCTTCAGAATGCACGTTACATTCCAGACTGTTGGAGAGTTAGTTAGGACCTAAATGACCTATTAGCCATGCATGACAGTGTTGATGTTGCTCCACAACTTACATCCAAGCTGAAATATCTTGACAGTTCATGGTGTGTGTATAGCCATGAAAATTTGAATAGACATTCATGGTCCCCAGAGGAGAAATCCTAATGACCCTGACTTTCCCATTATCACAACTATGAGGTTGGCATCTGTGACTGAGTGAAATGCCTCGACAACTACTGGATGGATTGCCATTAAATTTGGTACAAATATTCATATCTCCCCCTGGATGAACTGAAATAACTTTGGGGGTCCCCTCGATCTTTTAACTTGTTCATTAGGTCAAAATTTTAATTTGTCCTATATTTGGTTTACAACCAAATGCTTGCAAAACTCAGGACATTATTTACCTATTGGCCTAGTTTGTGTTCATTAATTAGCAAATATTATCATGGTATCATATGTAACTTGCATATAGAGTTTGCATTGCACTCAGAAGAATTAGTGCATTGTTGTTGCTGTATTAATTAATGGTGACTGAGGAGGGTTGCACACTGTGTCAAGAAGACACTTCTGTTGTTGAGGTCATCTTCTGAAAAAAAGTGACTAACTATTGCTGACTGACCCTAAAACAACACCACATCACTGGCCATGAAAGCTCAAACATGCCTCTACTTCCTCCGCAAACTGAGGAGAGCCAGTGTGTCACCCCCTGATGACACCTCCCACCCCGCACACTCCCACTTCAGACTCCTGCCTTCAGGGAGAAGGTATCGGAGTCTTCAGGCCCACTCCATCAGACTTACAAACAGCTTCATCCACCAGGCTGTGAGGATGCTGAACCCTGTTCACTTAGATTTATCCTAATTATGTCAATCCAGTTTTTATTCTATTCTACTCTATTCTATTTTTATTTTGCTTTATTCTATTTTAGTTCCTAAATGTTATGGCACCTAATACTAGGTGAGAGAGAAGCGGTATTTCGATTTTCTGTATGTCTTGCACATATGGTCAATCGACAATAAAAAAATCCTTGAACCTTCTTTGGCATCATATGCATGCTAACATGCTAAACTAAAATGCTCAACATGGTAAACCTGCTAAACATCAGCGTGTTTGCATTGTCTTGGCATGTTGTTGTGCCACTGCCTATTTTGTCTGCATTTCATTTTTCTGTAAGAGGGTTATACAGAACCTAGTGTGAAACAAAAGAACTGAAACAGAGGTTTGACTTAAGGCTGATGTTGTGCCTGCAAGCTAGGAAGCAAACATGTAAGACAGAGGAGGCTGGAAAGGACATGCATAAACTTTTTACCCTGTGTTGTCTGTGTCCTTTTTTTTTAAAAAGTGTCTTGTAATTTCAGGAGGCTAGGGCCATGGTTTTATGACTTAACTCTTAAATGAACTCAACGTATCTGCGTTGACTGAAAAAAGCTGAACTCAGCTGAATATGAAATGAAATTTGATATAAGCTGCTTCTTTAGGAAAGGATACAGGCTTGATTAACTGGGTTATGGAGTACGTTAGGTATCTCTTAGGAGCCCAAAGAGCTAAATTTGCTAAACCAATCTGTAAATGTCTTGTAAAGAATTTAGGTGTTGTTTTTAAAATGGCTTACTATAGTTTTACTATAACTACCTGTTTGCACCTTTTAGCATGCAGGTTAAAATAGGTTTTACTATAGGCCAGGAGTACATGGACGTGCAAAGCTGGTAAATGTTTAGAAATGATTAAAGCACAGAGGAGAAGAAATAAATGGGAAAAAAGCAATAGCTATTTACAGTGGGCAGCTTTATGGCAGGCACCCTTAGAGAATAAGAGATGTCCTCCTCAGCACAGTATGCTACTGCAGTGAGCCATTGTCTGACTTGCACAGCAAAGCTGGTTGGCTTTTACTCCACAAGTGCAGAGACCAATATATAGGCTAATATGCTTTGCACGATATGCACTACAATAGGGCCACTTTAAACAAACCAGTGACTAGAATTACCCCCTCGCTGCTTTATGCCTTTGCCAGCCAGTCAAGTTTCAGTTTACATGAATAATTTATGTCGACAAAATATGCTAATATATATGTAGAGAAGATTTTGAAGGAATTTGAAGATGTTTTGTAAAAGTGTGTAAAGTATTCCTGAGCTCCTGAGATATTGCATTGATGAGAATGCGACAAACAGAGGGACAGACAACCTGCAAACATAATGCCTCTGGCCACAGCTATTGTCTGGCACGGAGGCTTCTTGGTCCTTTGTAGTGTTGTTTGTCCCTTCAAATAACAGCAATTTAAGCATACTGTAAAAATATGTTATAAAATTCCCAGCAATAAAGTGAAATTGACCTGCGTGAATAGCCACATATTAAACACACATAACAGAAAGACTCACCTTTTTCCAGGTATAGGAGCCTTTCTCTGGCAAATCACAGCGATGACTCCATCTGCACCCATATCCAAAGTGATGTCCCATAGTAAAGAGTTACTGGGTGTCGCTGTTCGAAAGATTACACCTTTCTTTACAGTTGCTCTGTGAAAAGTCCAAAACAAAAAGGTCAACAATGTGGTGAAAATATTAAGTCCCAATCGATTTCAAGTGAATGAACACTTATTTTTCCAAAGTGGTGTATATAATGTTTCACATTATATACATTTAGTTAACAAAACATTTGTTTATGTCTTTTGGAATTTGCTGTTGACATACAGCATTAAGTTCGATTGTCAGCATTATGAGAAAGGCCATTTTCCTCAGAGTGAAATTTATCCCTTCAGGTTATTACCATAAATCAATTTTTTTCTAACAAAGTGGCTTACGTCTTATTTATTATGTATTATGCATAATAAAATAAATGTTAAACTCAGACAAGGGTCCCCCACTCATATCCCTCTGCCCATTTAAAACACTAAGAAAACAGTGCTCATTGTGTGTACCCCCTAAAAAATAATTGTAATACTGATTACAGTCTTCCGCTGTAGCAATACGAGCACTGGTCAAACACTCTCAGCATGTGTTGCTTTTTTCTTTTATACAGTCACACCTATAAGACCTTCAGTGTATCGAGCAACAGCCCAGCCAAGTTGTCTTAAACAGTTCAGAACAACATTCTTAACATTCTTTGATTTCTATCTGTATTCATAGCTTTTTTGGTCTTTCTGTGAAACTTTGAGACAAACTCAAAGTGTTGAGTGTGACCTCTGAGGAGGTGTAATATATGGTGCAGTGGGAGCAGGAGCAGTGTGACGCTGAACACCTCTCCTGCGCCAAGTGGGGCTGGGATTTAAAACATGAGACACTGCTCCTTGTTCAGCACAACAAAACAAGCTACTGTACCAGCATCATCTCTTAATTGAAATATTTAAGATAATTGCTTACTGAACTTGTGGTCAGTGTTTTGTGCACATTTTGCACATTTGCTTGCGCATGTCTCCGGTGTGGAGTGTTCAACATGCAACATGTAATCTGAAAGGACGTTCTGCAGTATCCGCTGATCTTGCATGGTTCTGCTGCAGAGCCACACTCTCATAACTGAGTCCAAAACAGAAAGATCTCCATTGTTTCTTGTCTCTTTCTCAGAGCGAATGGATTTGGTTCATCTTTTGTAATACTGCTAAAAGTTCAAAAAGAGCTCATAGGTTAAAGGTCAAAATTAAAAAGGGATGACTAAGCACTGTCTTTTTCAACGGTGGCTTTAATCCACTGTGGCCCAGGAGACTTTCAGTATCCGTTCCAGGTGCACAGCACAAAAGCTGATTAAGATGGGTTCAACCAGGGAGGACAGGGTCAAAAGGTGAAATCATGTAGTGCTGTGACTGGCTGGAAAGTCGTTTAGTCATGATCGCACACAGCTGAATGCCAGAGTTTTGGAGTTAGTGGACACTTTAATGATCATTTTGTATTTTTTACCATAATTATAAAGAAAAAGATAGAGAAAATAGTAGTGTTGGAGCCTCTGACCTCTCACTCTGCCAATTTCCGCACAGGAGTTGCTACGGAGTGTATCAAAAAACACTCTGAACTTACAGATTTGGACTCCCACTTATTAAGTCGCTTCTGTTTCTGAGCTGTTCTCGTTAAATAAAAGGACAAAAAGCCATGAAATAGGTGCTGCATGGTCTATCTGTTACTTTAGTAAATTAAACTAGCTGCTCTGTGTACTGCACATAACAAGCTCAGGAAAAGGTGTAGCCAGTCCATTGTTATCAGTCAGATGTTTCCCAGGAGGCAGAAGAGGCAATGACACAAGGCACAAATACTGAGTCTGGGTTAACTGAGCAAAGAGAAATACATGCGGTTTTCATGTAAACAGGCTACAGCTTTTCTTACCGCTCTTAGTGGCAATACAATATTAATTATTTCTGCCTCTACAGTCACATTGGAATTCACATTACTCTGCCACACAGACCCCATACTGTATGTCAAAATCTCCAAGTGTGGTTTTTACTCTTCAGTTTTTGTACTAATTAAATGAAAAGATATAACATGTCAATGACTTTTACAGGTGCCAATGTGTGTTTTGTTGGACAGACTAGCTGTTTCCAGTCTTTATGCTAAGCTAAACTAACTGGCTGCTCCTGGTACCTTCATATTTTAAATCTTACAATCTTCTCATCTAAGTCTTGGCAAGAAAGCAAATAAGCCTATTAAAATATCAAACTGGTGTTTTTAAGTGCAGAAGCAAAAACTATAAAACACCTTTCACATGTAATGCATTAGCCATTGCACATATTTATCAAAAAGGAGCTTTTTGTGCTTTATAGTACAACTTACTGTACACCATCAGTTCAGCCAACACTGCATTTTCATTATGGTGTTTAGCCACTGTAGGGGTTTATAAGTGCAGTGTCATCATTTGCTTTCAATTGGGAAAAGCCTTTATCCAACATAATTAATGAGGTAAGCAGAATGGCATGCTCAAAGTATTAATGAGAAATCATAGCACTGTTAATTTATTAATGGCTTTTGGATAATATGTCCTGCTGAGAGGAAACACCTCTATGGATTGAAGGAAGCAGGGTGGTGACTAATAAAAAGTGACAGTAACAAGAAGACTTTTCTAAAGCCCCTTTTCTTTCTCTCTCTCTTTCAGCCCCTCTTGTTTAAAAAAAATTAATAAATAAATGGTGCCTTGCGACTGGAAGAGGCATGTTTCTTCTGAGTGGTTGGAAGCAGGAACCAGTGTCCGTGGCTTTGGTTAGCAGGCCCTGAGGAGGCAGTTAGTGGGGGGGGGAGGCACCAGGGCAGAGAAGATGGATGGCTGTTGAGACTGAAGCTGACAGTGTATGAGAGGAAAGCAGCTCTCAGGTGCTGCACCTGCCATCCATCTCACTTCTGACCAGGCAAGGCATGAGTGGCATTATTGTTTCACCGTTTACATACTCTTCATTCGCTCACACACACACTCACGTTAAAAATGCTGCTACACATATACACACAAACTGGCACAGATATAGAAACACATGTTGTCTAATACAGTTAAAACGCATCGTGTCTCTTGACCATCATCCGTTAGTTCCCTCTCTTGTTTATTTGTGGAATAAACTTATTTGAAAGGTGACAGAACCATGGCCAACAATGGAAAGAGACAATGAGACAAGTCAAAAATACAAATAGACAACACACAAAACAGAGACTGATCAAAGACATACATGATAGATTATATCCTCTGAGTGAGCTAGACAGCACAGTCCAGATGTATTTCATCACCAAGACTGCTGCTGAGGGTTAGTAATTACTTCCCTGATATAATTTGTGTTCCCATCTTTGGTTTTTTTGACTTCATCACTGCAGGGCCGCAGTGCCATCGGTGAACCCCAGTGCAATCAGAAACAGATGCAATCGTTAATTATGCAGGCAAATGCCCATCGTTTAGCCAGTCTGATAGCCAGCCATCGGCAGCGTTCTTATAGTACTTATGGAACAGTTCAGGGAGTTGGGGGGATGCTCATGCCAACACTTGTGCCAGATGGCACACCACTAAAAATGGATGTAAAAGTCCTATTTGTCATAGAGATGAATGATTAGGCTCCCCAGATGAAGAGCTCACTGACATAGTGTCCTGGAGATACACAAGCTCAGGTTTATTTATTCCCACAATGCTGACTTTAAATAATACCTTTACTCTAGAATAAGACAAACCATTCTGGATCTTAGCTCACTTTTAACAGAAAAACAAACAAAATGTAGCATCATTCTTAGTGAGCATACATTAAAGGGATAATGTAATTACCTTTCACGTGGATAGTGTGATGATGACACTCCATCATCACTCCATAGAGTGAAGATGTACAATACTTTATATGACCTTTATCAAACTCTCATTAGGAATGAAGGTTTTGTTTCACTGGAACAGACAGGTGTGGCTGGTCTTTTGCTCTGTCGACCTCATATATGTATGTCCCTTGTCTCCAGCTATACACATCAGTAACCAGTTTATCATGCTGATGAGAGAGTGTTACATGAAGCTTAATGGGACATTCAGACAATGATAAAACATACAGACAGCTGTTGAGGACTGGATGCAGTGGCCATGTTAATGTGGTGACAAGCTGGGGCACAGCACTGTGTTACTGACTATGTAAGTCAGAGGATTATGCCATGTTTATGTAATGTAAAACAGGGATTTTCAGAGTTTAGTTGCCTTTAGTTGCCCAACCAGTCCACATGTGTTTCGTGGATCTGGAGAAGGCATTCGACCGTGTCCCCCACAGCGCCCTGTGGGGGGGTGCTCCGGGGTCCGGGGCCCTTTGCTAAGGGCCGTCCGATCCCTGTACGACCGGAGCAGGAGCTTGGTTCGCATCGCCGGCAGTAAGTCAGACTTGTTTCCAGTGCATGTTGGACTCCGGCAGGGCTGCCCTTTGTCACCGGTTCTGTTTATTATTTTTATTGACAGAATTTCTAGGCGCAGCCAGGGGCCGGAGGGAGTCCGGTTTGGGGACCACAGGATCTCGTCTCTGCTTTTTGCAGATGACGTTGTCCTGTTGGCCCCATCAAACCAGGACCTCCAGCATGCACTGGGGCGGTTTGCAGCCGAGTGTGAAGCGGCTGGGATGAGAATCAGCACCTCCAAATCTGAGGCCATGGTTCTCAGTCGGAAAAGGGTGGCTTGTTCCCTTCAGGTTGGTGGAGAGTTCCTGCCTCAAGTGGA